CTGGCTTGGTTGAAGGCGGCGTCCAGGCCGTCTGAACACACGGGGATTACAAGTGAAAACTTTGCGGGCTTGACTAAGGGTCGCATGCACTAACATCCCGCTGGAGACGGGGACGCAGCCTGAAAGAAAGCTTCAAGTTCTGAAGCTATAGACTCTGGATTCCTCGTTGTTCCACCTGCAAATGTTTCTGCTACACTTTACTATGGACATATTGAACAGGAGCGAGAAGTTGTACAAGCTTTCCAACTTTTGTGTGACCCCCTGATAATTCGCGGCGGCTTATGGTTTTACTTCAAACCCATTTTTCTTTCTTCAAAAAATGAAGTTAATGAAAGCATTCCAAAGTTGTATCCAACCTGACAGTGCTAAGCATGTTTCTGATGAGGACAAATGAGTTATAGTGTGTCCTGGCCAGCTTCAGGGCCGCGCACAAATGGTTTGAGGTCAAACTGGACTTCGTTTTTAAGGTTAGAAGCAGCGCGGATTTTGTTTTATGAGGTTTTGAGGCGACAACATGTCCTGTTTTACGAGTTAAACGTGTACTTCGGCAAGCGCGCGAATTTCAAACGTAAGATCCAAACAAACAGATGGCTTGTTTACAGCGCACAAACAATCACATGAAAAGAATGTGGGCTTTGTGTATAGAGTAATACTCCAAACCTATGTAAAAAGTTTCAAGCACTTGTGCGTCTTACCGTCCCTGATTGTTGTCTGGACCAACTTGATTCAGAGCATTATCGGAAAGTTCACATAAGTTTTGGACCTTTTCGAATTGGACGATTAGAGCGCTCAATAATCTATCATATAGCGAAGAAGCGACTCAAACCATTGCCTCTCCTCTTTTTTGGGCCAAAAATAGTGTAAATCACGCAATGATAGATTTTGAACACTAAAATGGTAGCGTACTCAGCTTTCAGTTACCTTGGAATATTTAATTTTTTTGTTTGTTAAATCAGATTCTTCAAAATGCGCTTCTCGCTATTTTATTGTTACGTTGTTTGAATAAGTGTTACCCTGTTGACTACCAAAAGGGGCTTCGTAAATATTTGCGAAGTCATGGGGACTTCGTTTCCAGAAATGCTCCAAATCAACGAGTGCCGGACCCTGGTTATTTACTGTAGAATCGCTGTATTGATAAAATGGTGATGGTACTAGATGCACTGTTCTAGCACTTATCTCAGATTTTCTCAAAGTTACTATACCTGTCTACTTTTACAGGTAATGGATGACGAAATGAATACGGCAGACGAATGCGTGGACATTGTGCAGCAGATAAACAATCGACTGGCAATTGCATGCACGCTGATAATCCATAGCTTTATAATTTTCCGCATCAAAAGGAAGTTCTCTGTATACACTCAATACCAGAATCTGCTCATACTCCAGTCTTTTACATACATACTTGGTTCAATTGCGCGACTGATTGTAAATTCGGTAAGGATTTGACATGTACGCTCACTGTTTTGTGCACGCAACCTTGTTCAGAGAATTACTCTAGATGGAGACGAACTGCGAGGGTATACATTTATTTACATGCCAGAGCTGGTTGACACTATTCTAGAATACATAGTCGACTTTCTAGACTCTGGAGAGCCCATTGTGCTAGCAGTGTTCAACATTTACCGCGTACTTCACTTTGTAAGGTATATTCTTCTTAAGCAATGAAAATATTAACCTCGGCCTTGCGCTAGAGTATCAACTTCACACATTGTAGGCCATCTTGGCTAAAACCCTTCTACTCAGCTGTTATTCCCACAGGCATATTGTGCTGTATTTGTTATGCATATGTCAACGTCAATGATACGGTAAGACTCATGATTTTGCTTTGTTCACATAGGTAACACCACTATAATCGTCTAATCGTCCTTAGCCCACTAGTCAACCAGTGGACGAATTTTCGATATGCAAATACAAAAAAAAATAAAAAAATAAAATAGCTGAACCGGAGCCGACGATTGATGCCGGAGCGAAGCAGGTCCACCCTTGCAAAGTCAACGCATGAGTTTCTTCTTGTTTTTATTTTCGTTTCATGGGCTCTTCCGCGTTGTAGTTCTGTTCTTTGATAGGATCTACGAATTCCTGAGAGTTACGGTGCTTCGCTTTTTGCTCGTTTCCTTGACTTCAATTCAGGTGAAGCATGGAACAAATGCAATGATAGGATCTTCGCTGAATGTACCTTTGTTCGGCAAGTATCATATGTACGTAAGCTAATTACGGAATTGTTCACACTGTGTCAGTCAGTTGTGTTCTTTGAAATCTGCATTTTCCGTAGGTTGAAACATCAGGTGTTAGGTGAATATCTGTTACACAGATAGCAGAAAACTTCACCTCTCTAGCCGGAAGAGTGCGTTGACGTGATTACACGACACGCCCCTTAATTACGCTTACCCCTTAACTTACCTTGTACTATGTTTTACCTGAAAAGAAAGTCAAGGAAACAGAGAAGTAACGTTCAGGGGCAAGAAGTCGTGATTTCATAAAAGAGCATGGCTACAGCACCTAAGTGAACAAGGAACGAAAAGAAACAAGAAGAAGTCATCCGCAAACTTTGTCTTAAGGCGGGACCTGCCGCGCTTCGGCGCCAACGCCGGCACTAAAGTTGTCCACTGGTTGATTAGTGGGCTGAGGACGGCTATTCACGCGCTGTAACTAACAACGGTACTAAACGTTGAAACGGCTTTGTCTATCAGAGATGTTGAAAAGTCAACTACAGTTTTATACAGTTTTTGAAGTAAAAGAACGTAGTTACAGCATGAAGGGAGAAAGAAAAACAAGAAGAAGTTATGCAAAGTTAATAAATTTTTGTTGTAAAGCAACAGTGTCATAACTTTGAGGTATGAGTCAGGATTTTGGGCTGATCACAGAACACTCTAAATGAAAGAAGATTAGCGTGACTTATATGGTACAGTTCTCTGCAGAAATGCAATAAAGTAATGTCCTTTTAGTTTGCCTTTCATAGTTCACTTTGATGCAAAAAGTTCTTTGATTATTATGTGTGGGTGAGACGCAGGAGATTAGGCTTACGAAGGATGCCTTATTAGTCGAAGTGGCCTTTCTACATGACACCTATGACATCATAACACATTCCAAACCTGCTTTCAATTCTGCGGAACACTTTTCCGAAAAAAGTTATGAGGCTTGAAAGTCACTATTTGTCGAGTTTTAAGTGGCTCAAAATCAGCGAAGAACTGTACAATATCGGAAAGTAGGAAATCAATTCTGTACCAAGTATATCGGCTAATAAAAGAACACAGCTAGTGGAAATCCGCATAGGCGTTCTTTTAGAGATTCTGCTGAAATATGCCCCTAGAGCTTGACAGGTTTACATCCAAACGCTCACAACTTCTTTCGAAAAATCGTTTCGCAAAAGAGGGAAGGCAGATTTGAAGTCAGCATTCAAAGGCCTGTCTAGTTATCGGTTTCATGCAGCTTGACCACTTCGAGCAATAAGACTCCCTCGTAAGATAAGTTTGACATGGAACAATCTCCTTCCGTCTATTTAAGCGTTTGATAACAGTGAGCAGAGTGATTGACGATACGCTGCAGCGTTTGCAAATTTAAACAGCTATACAACACCAATGGTCTCAAGTTCAAATCAGGGTGAATCATAATGCAAAACATCTTCTCCAACACTTATAGATCAGCGAATTGAACTTTTAACCAGACAAGAAAAGTTATATTCCAGGCGCATCGAAGTATTATCCAAAAAGCAGCTAATTTTATTCACTCACTTTATTTCGCTCACAACTATTACCCAGAATTCGAAATTATAATTTGAAAAATAACAGAGATGATGAGTAGGACATTAATAAATAATAGTTTTTGGTCAACAGACGATTATGCGTAGTTTCTGGACCACGCTTTCTCATCGCATCCTGTTGCGCCGCAGTCATTTCTTTGTAATAGATCTTACAGCTCTTCTACACTTGCGGGCTAGACTTTTGGCGCACTTCAAAGTGATTACACAATTCTCAAGCAGTATAAGACTCGTCAAATTCTTGTTGGAGACGAAATTTTTGAAAATTTTTATACTTGCAATAAAAAGTTGCAAGAATTGATATGGAGTGTGTTCAGGCGCCGAGTGGAATTGCAAAATTTCGAGGTCAATTTTCACAGCATGCTAAAATGCATCCTTTCTTGAAATTTCGAAAACACTGAAATACCTAGGAAACACACCAATTTTTGAACTTTCTTGAGAAGCAGTCTTTTCCGCATCCTGTACATTTAATGGCGTTTTGTGCTCCAACAATACAGTGAACGAGCATTGATTGGCTGATGTTGCGTACTGACGACGACTCTGCGTAAAACATGGTTAAGTTTGGCAATGTGAATCTAATCTACAGCATGTTCACTGAAACTTTCTCTACGTCATTTGTGTAATTGTTTAAAAATCCGGCGTTCAGTAAGCTTTATGGTCATATCGCATAAAAATTTCAAAAGGTGAGACACTTCGTTGCCATCGAGAGGACTGAACCTCGAATTCACTAGGATCGTCCCACTTGGTTGGAGTAGTCGCCATGCTTAGGCATTGCTTACCACCGATTTAGTGTTTAAGCCGCTTACGCTTGCAGCGCTGGCAGCATCCCAAGTGAAGTGTGTGAACTCTATTTCAAATCGGATATGATGGCAACTATGACGTCACATGCTCTAACACTTACCACTTGTGCCAGTTTTTTCTCTTTATAATATCTGATGTATCGGGCGATACTTGAGAATAAGTCGCCTTGTGGTTTACTTCATTTTGTACAACTTGACAATGTCACTCAGTGACGTTGATATATGTGCATTTCACGTTTGAGACTTACGTAAATCGCGAAATTAAACTGAATAAAGCCTGCCTTTAACACCAAAAAAGTAGTCTTTCTACGTCAGATGCTTAATACGTAAAAGCGAGAACGTACTTCTATCGTATCGTCTGCACATGTGTTTTCCAAATCGATGGTTTTCATAAATCAAAGTATCTTCTCAGGGCTACGCATATTACTTCAACCTCGTATTCTTCTTGATCATTTGCTCGGTGATTATCATGTGTTACGCAATTTTGAGAAAACACTTCGCAATGAATGCTTTTTCCGAAAAAGTTCGTAAGCTGCAAACAAAGTTATCAAAGGGCATACTTATGCAGGTAGGTGGCTTATCGAAGAATCGAAAGCATAGTTTGAATTATGTTTAGATTCTCATTCACGCTGTGATCCTAGCACTCATGAGTTTAGTCAGTCCAGTTATGCTTCTTTTTGATTTAGTCATCGAAAGTATGGAAACAAAAAGAGTAGTCTTCGGAGTTTACATATTGGTGAGTGAATATTGGGACATACATTAAGCAAGCAACCCATTTTACTATATAAGAATTTTATAGATTGTTTGCTTGATTTTCTCGTGGTATCCTGTGGCTACTGGCCTTATCATTCGCTGGTCGATAATGGGATTCTTGACAAAAAAGAAGAAACAACCGCGAACATCTGCTGTATTCTCGCAGGTCCCGGTCGGGCAGATGACCAAGGCGGGCAAGCGGGCATCGCGGCGTTGCTTTATACTGCGACGACGACAGACATCCTAATGCTTAGCGGGATTGCACTTCGAATGTCAATATTTTAATCTTGAAAATGCCTTTATGATAAAAACAAAAAATGGCATGTAATGCCTATGTGATAAAAACACAACAAATAATTTCTTTAACTATTATATACCAGTGCGTCACCTACGCTTCGCGGAGGTTCGCACTGGCTCTCCTATCCGTTTGCCTTTCTCTTGTTCGCATAATGATGACTTTGAAACCCACCATGCTATGCTGAACATCACAATTGAATAGTAAACAACTGTTCAGTCTTGAAGCATCTCCACGTAAGATCGGTAATTTTGAGAGAAAAAAACTTGTCGCAAAGGAACACCTGCGAATTTGATTGGATTAGTGAAATTGTTTTGGCTTGGTAGTCGTCATATGGATAATAGTCACTTTGAGCTAAATTTCCGTGCAAAAATCTTTCCAAGTCTAACGTAAAACCTTGCCAAATCGACTGTCTAAGCGATCACCACTTCTTCTTGCTGTTGTCAGTAAAGCAAACTTTTTGAGCACTTTTTGGGCTAGAATTCATGAGGGGCAGATGTACTTTTCAAGCAAATCATGACTTCACAAAAAGTCGAATTAGTGACCTAGTTTTGCGTGCCAAAAGCCGCCTGTGCCCTTTTGACGCGCAGTTTTCAAAGGTCCCAAATATCGGATCAGCTTGTGCTTTCGCACTTTTTACCTACATGCTGGTAGGGTGCTATGACAAAAATTTCAGCTCAAGACCTTGCCTACAAAACACTCTATGAATTTCGTGACAGACAGACATAAACAAACAAACAAACAAACAAACAAACAAACAAACAAACACACACACACACACACACACACACACACACACACACACACACAGATGGGTCTTGACATAGAAGAACTCGACTTTTTTTGTCATCCATCGATTTCGAAAATCTTGCCGCATGGAATATGTGTAGTTCTGTTCTGCCAACCAGGTTGTTATGGTGGACCTTTATTGACCTTACGTTTCGACCAATATCGTCTTCTTCGGATGTCTGGAAGAGGATTGCAGTAAACAATCTGTTAGTCTACACGACCAAACGCCTCATCAGACTTCCGTTGTTTGAACCGCGTTGAGGAGCAACGTGCCAAAAAACAATCCAAAATGCATCCACTAACCTCTAATCCACCGTGCAGTCAGTATCCGCACGGAAGTGGCGGACATCACTGAGGTTCTTCAGGGTGAAAAATGCTAGAGGCAACGTAGATCTACACCGGAAACTCAAGTATGAACAACAAAATGAACGCGTGACAATAACGAACGATCTCTTGCCTCTTAGTCATTACGCGACCTGAAACCGCACATTATATAAAGTCCTGGCACAATGAGAAACCTCAGTGATGTTCATCACTTCCGTGCGGACTGCTGACTTCACGGTGGACTACAGGTTATGGATCCATTTTTGTATTGTTTTTTGGCACATTGCGTCTCGACGCAGTTCAAACCATGAAAGTCTGATGAGGCGTTTGGTCGTGTAGACTAACAGATGATTTGACTGCAATCCCCTTTCAAATCTCCGAAGAAGACGATATCTGTCGAAACGTAAGGCCACCAAAGGTTCACCATAACAACCTGGTTGGCAAAATGGCACTACACATATTCGATACGACATGCCCAGGTTAGAAGGTGAGAGTACGTGGAAGATCTTGTCGCATGGATTCAACAGAGGGCGATTGGAAAATCACATTGGCAAACTAGAATAAAACATTTCCGATACCAAACGTTTAGTTTTTCTCGACCGTTTTGTGCAACAGAACTACAACACGAAAATAGTGATTTGTTGCAATCAAAGAAACATTTGGTTCAAAAAGAAGCAACTCAAAGCCATTTGCACATGTAGTGTGTGAGCAGCTGAAGTTTGTGAAGTCTGTAAACATATTCAATAGGGAAAATATTATCAACCCAATAATGCAGAAAAAAATTGCAATTTTGGGGCATGATAGGCGCTTTGCATCAAGAGTGACAGCTTTTACAGCAGGACCAGTTGGGAATGACCTGAAAAGTGATACGGAAAATTTTCAAAATGACGGTCACATTGTGAACCTACACGTAGACTATTTGGTCCAGCCCTTCAGTTGCGAGAATCGTTGCAGAAAATGATGTTGAGCCAGCAAAGCGTGACTACTAGTACTTGTGACAAATGAGAAACTCTTGGTATGCAACAAAGCTGTGAGCATCCGTGAGAGGCAATGACTGGTAAATTTGGAGCCTGTTAGTAGAAAAAGAGTTGTTCATGTTGTTTAATATTTTGCCTTTCCTTGTGATCGATATACTCAATACATACCATCTAAGTTTGCGCTTTGTAACCTTTGTAAACTGTTCATCAAAATAATTCATAATTCAAATGCTCACTTCATGAAGGTCGTTTCGCAATTATGAAAATCCATCTAAAGTCAGCGATCAAAGGTAGTAAAAAAACTTTTCCAGCTTGTCCGAGCGACTTGGTCTCTCTTCTTGCTCGCTTGAATGCCCCAAAATTGCAAATTTTTTCTGCAGTTTTAGGTTGATAATATTTTCCCTATTGAATATGTTTACAGACTTCACAAACTTCAGCTCCTCACACACTACACGTGCAAATGGCTTTGAGTTGCTTCTTTTTAAACCAAATGTTTCTTTGATTGCGACCACCAATGATCATAACTTTTGAAAGGAAGTGCTTGAGTAAAAATGAGAAATGCGGCAAGAACTCTGTGGAAATGTTTTCAGATCCAACAAATCACTATTTTCGTGTTGTAGTTCTGTTGCACAAAACGGTCGAGAAAAACTAAACGTTTGGTATCGGAAATGTTTCATTCTAGTTTGCCAATGTGATTTTCCAATCGCCCTCTGTTGAATCCATGCGACAAGATCTTCCACGTACTCTCACCTTCTAGCCTGGGCATGTCGTATCGAATATGTGTAGTGCCGTTTTGCCAACCAGGTTGTTATGGTGAACCTTTGTTGACCTTACGTTTCGACAGATATCGTCTTCTTCGGAGATTTGAAAGGGGATTGCAGTCGAATCATCTGTTAGTCTACACGACCAAACGCCTCATCAGACTTTCATGGTTTGAACTGCGTCGAGGCGCAATGTGCCAAAAAACAATACAAAAATGGATCCATAACCTGTAGTCCATCGTGAAGTCAGCAGTCCGCACGGAAGTGATGAACATCACTGAGGTTTCTCATTGTGCCAGGACTTTATATAATGTGCGGTTTCAGGTCGCGTAATGACTAAGAGGCAAGAGATCGTTCGTTATTGTCACGCGTTCATTTTGTTGTTCATACTTGAGTTTCCGGTGTAGATCCACGTTGCCTCTAGCATTTTTCACCCTGAAGAACCTCAGTGATGTCCGCCACTTCCGTGCGGATACTGACTGCACGGTGGATTAGAGGTGAGTGGATGCATTTTGGATTGTTTTTTGGCACGTTGCTCCTCAACGCGGTTCAAACAACGGAAGTCTGATGAGGCGTTTGGTCGTGTAGACTAACAGATGATTTACTGCAATCCTCTTTCAGACATCCGAAGAAGACGATATTGGTCGAAACGTAAGGTCAATAAAGGTCCATCATAACAACCTGGTTGGCAGAACAGAACTACACATATTCCATGCGGCAAGATTTTCGAAATCGATGGATGACAAAAAAGTCGAGTTCTTCTATGTCAAGACCGTTCATGTGCACAAGTACCTGCAGTAGTACCTAATAAAGCATCTTATCTCAATTCAAAGTGACAGGAATAGCATGTCACATTTGTGATGCAATGTATGACACAAGTAGGACTTGTCCCGAAATAAGCGTAATAGCTTCGCAGTCCAGTCATTAGTGTCTCAGTGGCGGTCCCAAGATTTCCGTACGGGGGGAGAAGGGGGGCAAGAATTTTTTCCTAATGAAGGTGCGCGGCGTCAGCCACGCACTCCGAAAAATTTCTTGGGATGTTCTCAAAATGCGGGGGCCAAATTAATTATTTAAAAGCATAAACAAGTCGCTTGCACGTTTTCATAACTCATGTTAATAACTTTTGAAACTTTTCGCGACCCATTCGCTGAGGAGGAGGACGCCAATCAATGCTCTTACACATCATGAACGTGCTCTCTTGGAAAGCAATTTTTACACGCAAAGAGAATGTTTACCATGACAAAGTTTAGTATCTGTACATTTCATTCGTTCTTTTTATGTAGGCGTACCCATGCGCTGCCAACGTATAAAAAGACCAAAACGGGTCGAACCGCTCCGAATTTTGTGGCAGACAGAGGGACAGGCCTTACAACTGGCACTGTCTTGATATCATTTTTGCAAAGTATATATCGTTTTTGCGAGGTTCGCGGAGGATTTTAAGGAAACCCTGAGATACGTCAGAACTGACTCTACGTTGAAGGCAGAGGATTGGCAAAACTGAACCACACGAAATTTTGATGCGGTTGGTTGCTTACCCTCAACTACGAAACTGAGTAATCCCGGTCCGACAGTCTGCCCTCCCTGCCGAAAAAGCAAGACTTTCTTACACGCGCTCGGACGAGTTCGTGATTTTTCGCCCATCCTTGGAGGCGGCATGCCGCAATGCTATAGTCGAGGGGTCCCGCACCGACTCTGCATCTCTAACGCTAACGGGGTACCGTACTCGTCCACATTGAGAAGGGATTCGAAAAAAGCTCATTTTCGTTATTTTCGATCTCTTTAAGGTGGATTGTCGGCATCAGCGCCTCGGATAACCCCAAGTAAGTGAAAATTTCTCAAAGTTGAGATTTGCTGAGCCTGCCTTTGAAGCCGCGCTTGCCGACATCCTCTTGACAAGTGAAGAAGGACCGCTACGGCAATGTGCACTAACGCAATCTTACACAAAGTGAGAATCGCAAATTATGCTTTAAACTCTTACTGTTGATGGCTTATACCGAACATGCAACGATATGACACCAAATACAGTATGCATATATGCACTTTAGGCTTTGGAGAAAACTATTTGATAACTAATGTAAATTAAGACAGTAACTGACTTTTTTGGTGATTAGATGGAATCGTTCTGGCTGAACACCAGCATATTATCTTCTTCTTCTGAGCGTATGTACCCACAGAGTGTTACAAAATGGCAAATGTCAATGGTATATGGTAAAAATATGCCGAAGTAACCAGATTATCGCTTCACCCATCTTTATGCTTCGATAAAACCCCCTGAAAATCTACGGTGGCGCACACCTGCGATGGCATAGCTCCCCTTTTCTCCTCATCAAATTGGAGCACGGAGATTTTTGCTTGCGTGTTCATCACTCATTATAAGTTTTCATTTTTTCTGCCAGTCAGCGTTTACGTCCTATCTGATCAGTGTCAGTGCTATATGGTAGGTAACCCCTTTTCAAAGGGATAATATACAATACCGCTCACAGAATGTGCAAAATTTCCTCTATATATCATGCGCACTGTTAATCTCATCACTGACAGGCCAAGTGATTTTTGGGATCTTCTGGAGCTGTTTTTAGAAATGAAGGGATGAAATCTTCTGAAGCTATAGTAAGAGGCGGCCGCGTAGATTATCTTGATTACTAGGTTGCAGCACAAGGTCGTAATAATCATAACTTATAATAACGGGCTAAGGGTGTTTACGTTTTTTTTTGTGTGTGTGTGTGTGTGTGTGTGTGTGTGTGTCTGTCTGTCCGTTACGAAATTCGTAGAGCGTGTTCCAGCCAATGTCCTAAGCCCAAATTTTGCATAGCGAACGCTACCTGCATGAAAGCCCACCATGCAAAAGCATGAGCGGATCCGTTAAGTGGATCCGTTGAAAATTGCGTGTCAAACGGATCCACTCGGCTTCTGACCAGCAAAACTGGGCCGGTACCAACACTTTTTGCGAAGTCATGGATATGTTTGACAAGCTAATGTGGAAGCCAAGGACTTTAGCCCAGAAAATTGAAAAAGTTGGCTACTTTACGAAAATGGCGCCAAAAAGAGTTAGTTGCGTAAATGTTCAGTTTGCCAAGGTTTTACCTCATCCTCTGAGAAGATTTTTGCACGGGGATGTAGCCCACGGTGATTATAGTCGTCATGACGACTATCAGGCCATAAAAATTCAAAAAACCGATTCAAATTCGCATTAATTTTTCTCAGAAAAGTTTCATCCACGTGAAAATACCGATATCACACAAAAAAGCTCTAGGAATGAGTAGTTGTTTACGAATCATTCGTGATAGTCTGCATGGCTCGGTGAGTTTCAATATCATTATTATGCGGGAATGAGTTAAGCATACAGAAAGTAAGGCCAGTGCGAGCCTCTGCGAAGCAGGGGTGACGCACTGGTAAAGAATACTGTCAGTTTTACGTCTTTTTTATCTTGTAAAGTTTATAAGGTGGATCAATAAATATCGAATGAACAGCAGCGGTTGATGAAGGGAGATATCTGAGGATAAGCATACTTCTCCTCAGCCGGGGTCCAGGATTTCTCCCTTTTTTCTCCTCTCGTCCTCCTGTTGTATGCCGCTCGGCGCGCTATCGGCATCATTTCCGGTTCGTCGACCGTGGCATTTTGTAAACATCTGCATAAGTATACAATACAAACCACCCTTACACCTTCCCATTTCACCCAAAAGTCCTGAAGAGATTTCTAAGGGTTTGTCCCGACAAAATTTGTTCGTCTTTTTTCGGGACCTTAAATTCTAGTGCCCAAATGAATAACAGAAGCGGATTCTCTTGTAAAGATAAGATTTGAGAATCTTTGCAGAGAAGAGCTGGCTATCTTGTTGTCCTGGTTATAGTCATCTGAATTTGGGTTCACGACCCTTGGGGAAAATATCGTCCCATGAGAAAACGCGAAATGAATCAATTAGCAAATCGGTTAGTCACGTTTACCTCCAAAACGCCCACCTACTTTCTTTCGTGGTGGCGACGGAAATTGCTTGTATTACGAGTCCAGTTGAGCCTCCGTAGGAACTGTTGAGTGAGTGGGTGCTTTCGCAGGCAAACCTTCTTCTGCTCTTGTCTTATCTAATGCCCGTTGGAACTCAGGTCCCTGCTGGACCTGTGCACGAATGTCGGGATGCAGTCGCTCCACAAACTTTTCTAAGTTTCGCTTCTGCTGTACTACCTGCCCTTGCCCCGCCGTAGCCCCGCGCACTAAATTGACAAGCCTGTTGGCGAAGGCTACTACAGATATTCTTCTATTTCTTGACGGCATGCATAAAGTTGTCACGCAATATAACGTTGCTGGGTATGCGGGGTATTGAAGTGCTTAGTTAGGTGCGCGACTATTTTATCGTAATCCTGACGCTCGATGTGAGAGAGTTCCTCTACTTTTTTTCGCGTGCCATACCGTGTGTTGTAATGAGTGCAATAAGAGGCTAATTCATCTTTGAAACTTCTGTGGAGTGATGCGTTTATGTATAGCGCATTTAAAAAATCGTGACGATGGCGCGACCGAGCGCTACACGAACGCTACTTTCAGAAATCGCATTTTCTTGGTTTTCACCTGTGATCGAATTGTCTTTTTGCTTACATACATATAATAGTATTTAGACACTGGAAGTGACTGCGCTGAGCGTTGAGGTGACATCTTCTTGTATGAGCGTTTATGCTCCTGTGGGCGCAAAGTCCGCAGTCAAATCCGTCGTCACGATTTTATAATGATCTAAATTGTGTTTATTTGCATTGTTCTATCATTTCTTTCTGTTGTAATTCGATCCCTGGTTAGTGCTGTTGATTTCCAACTCTCTCCCATTAGTTCCCGCCCGTTCTCATAGAGTTTTCCCAGTGCCTGATACCGAGTGGTACGTCCTCAAAGGCGTGTGTACAGAGTGTCCCAAAAAGATGTCCACAGTGTTTGATCGTTAATAAATCTCTTGCTTTCATGTCTTTTGCCGAGCTTGAGGTAGCATCCTGTAGAGCGAGGATAAACTTAGATTTACAGTATGGAGCGAATCACCAATCTCTCTTCGTTACTGTAGGATCACGGTATGAACTTTCAGCATACAGCGTCACTGTGGAATAAGCCTTTTGATGAAATAATTTCGAAAAAATCTAAAAATTTGTGTAGCAAGCTTTACAGGCGTGCTGATTTCACTACATAACATCCCATTTCCGTAAAGCTGGTATTCGCTTCATTTTGCTACTCTATGGTCTAATTTTATCCTGATCGTATCAATCAGGTTTGTTTTTAGAAACTTGTTTTGAATTTCTTGAGTAATTATAAATGGTTTTCTCATCTCATTTTAATTACTTTTACTGCCAAATTTTGTTTGTGTGTATCCTTTCTGCTTCATGCATTGTCACACGTTTGAACGTTGTGAACTGCATGATGCGTCGAGAGGAAAGCACACGCGACCTAACCCACAATTCAAAGTACAACAGATGGTTTTCTATGAACTCTGCAGGCTACCTTGTAGTTCATTGTTTGCTCTAAACGACTTTCGCTCAATACAAAGACATTTGTTTGGTAGCGTCTCGTTTTTTGCGCAAACGCTGCTCTTTTCTCGCTAATTTTTGGGGTTATGCATGGAATTTTGAATGTTCATAAGCCACTGCTTGTAGATCAAATTTCTGAGCAATAATCAAACCAAAAAGTGTGTTTTCCCTGCAAACTTCGTTTAATTCACATACACGAATGAATGTGACAATACACGATGCAGCAAGGATTGCACACATGGAGCAAAAAGAGTTACCAGCACTCACCTTACTTAACCAAAAATAGAGTACTCTAGTAGTCGAAGCAACACATCCCACTTTTTTCCGTGATTGGAAGCATGTCAGTTTAGTGGATAGCAGCGAGTTTATTAGGTAAGACAGCAGAATAGCAGCATTCGATTGAATCATGCGTCTATGACATCTCTATCAAGGGTACGAGAGAGGTCATTACTGAAACTCGTCCGTTTCCGCAGCGCACCTGCTTAGGTCAACCGCTCGCCTCATCGAAGCAGCCAATTAAGACGTGACCTCTGAGACGCGCTGATCTATCGCAGCCATCGCGATTAGAGCGGGTTCAGAAGGGCCTACACCCCACCCTGGATATAGCTACCGTAATCAGTTGATGATTCATAGTTATTTTCAAACAGCTAAAATACTAAATATTCCACTGCGTCCAGTTCTATACCCAACAAAAAGGAAAATTAAGGAAACAGAACAGAACATAACAGAAATAAACTCAGTCATGTTCAAAATGACCATTTTACTCAGATGACCCAAAAACTGGGAAACTTCATAACTAGCTCAAACTTGGCTACGGAAGTAACTTCACAAGCTAGTTATAGTCACATCATCAATTACAAGCTGATATTTTACTTGTTAGGCCTGGTAAGGCTCTTTATTATGCTACGGTAGGTTTACGAAGACAAGTCAATATCTCTTGTGCTTGTATTTCGGTGGGATCGCCGAACAAACTATTTACAAAGTCTATGCTATTGTTATATCGCTATTATCAGTATTACTCGATAACAATTCCCTTCTCTTTTTGACTTTTCGATACGACCCCCGGAGGACCCTACGCTTGGCCCTGGTCATCAATTGTTTAACATACAGTGGTAGTAATTTTTTCACAATTTTCTTTCAAAAGGCAGTTAAGCCGAGCTTTCATAGGCCCTGAATGGTGATCTAGGTGGTCGAAGAATTGACTCTTGATGTGTTCTTTGTGACGTTTTCGTTCTTTGCGATGCAACAGACGCAGCTCTTTCTTCCATAGGTTCCTTCATCAAGTATGCGGTGGATGAGATAGACGGAACTGAGCTGAACGACGAAAAATTACACATAACTTTTGAGGACTGATAGGTTACGGATTTACCCTTGGTCCGATTTTTGGAACATTATTCCAGTCTCAGGGTGAAGTGCGATACGTCTCAGATAGCAACCGAAGAATATAGAAGCTATGAAAAGGAGTATTGCCACTGACGACAAGATGCCAGTCATCCATTTTAGGCCAATTTCTACAGAGCGATCTGAAAAGCGCCTTTTTCCTTGACTTTTTATTACATAGTAGAAATGTCAAGAATCAAAAAAAAAGTTTTTGCCAATGTCGACCAAAAGTGGGCACCGTCACGCTTTTCCCACGTCTCTCTCTCTATCTCTCTTTCCCTCTCTCTTGAAATTAAGACAGATTTCTGTGTTTCAAAAATTCTTACATCTGCACCAGACGTGCCATCCCGGTGTCCATGTTCCATTCACACAAGTCCTTTGCGGTGTCCCATGTATGAAGTATTCAGGTTTGCAAGTAAAAGTTACCGTAACCCCATCCAAGTAATTATTGCCTGGAGGGTATTTCACAGCTCCTGGTGCTACCAGTAACGCTCCACAGGATTGTCCTGCAATAGTAGGTTAAGGTATTAACTCAAGTCACGGCAATCGGAAAATATTCGAATGCGCTCAAGGACGCCTTCAAAAAATCAATAACAAAATTGGTCACGCACAGCGACTCATAGGCGTCGGTGCAGCGCTGCAGCAGGCAGCGCAGCTGTGGCTGTTGTCTGTTGTAGTGCTGTCATGATAATAGCAACGCTTACTTCTGTGTGTGCCTTTTTCCTTGAGTTCCAGTAGTTTGCTTTGCACTTCCAGTGTATTCATAGCGATTTCACGCCTTCCAGTAAGAAAATAATCGTACTCGCATTCGTAGACGTTTTGACAGGCCACCTAAATGCCGAATAGTTGCTTTTGGTTGGGGTCTCAGTGTTTTTTGCGACTTACCCTAACTTCATCAAGTGTAAACACTAGGCTAGCGTTGTACTGTAGTCGATATGGGTCGTGGACGGGATTGTACCTAAGAATAAATCACAGTGAAGTTGATGAAGAAAAAATAGAGACGAGAATAGGTGGACGAAAAAGGAGAAGGAGGAGCGAGGGAGGGGGGGGGGGAGCTTACCTCCTATCATCACCAAACTGTAGTGGATTGTATATCGGCTTGATATCATCCTGGAATAACGGCTTATGACGAGATCCGTCAACTCTCCCTGAAATTCTGTAGTGAAGTCAGGTGTAAAGAGCAGTCTCGGCACCAGCTGGCACGGGGCAAGCTGGATATCATTTTGGGGCAAAAAGCAAAGGGGGTTTAGTTTTTGTGGGCGAAGATATGCGCAAAATTGGCGACGGCGCACTTTTTTTTAGTAGACGTTTCGTTTCTGGGAGGTTTTTTTAGAATTCCAGTGGGGATATTGTCGTTGAGGATCAAAGGGGACTTCGTAAAAATCCCAAAAGTCAACGGGGACTTCGTTTTGAAAATTTCCTGGTGCCAGCTCGTGCCGAACCCTGGTAAAGAGCAGCTTTCCTTTTTTGTAAGGTCTTCAAATTCAAAATTTTGTGGTTTTATGGACAACGTTCAGTTTCAAAGTTTCAAACAACAGAATAAATAAGCTCACATCTCGATCCAAATTTATAGGCATTGATGTTGTCATGCTCTGATGGAGGATGATTTACTACAGTAATATGACCATCAGGAGACATCAAATCATCAATAGGGTTTCCGTTGAACGTTCCCAACAAGCCAACAGTAACATATCGTTGTCCACCTAGAAATAGAGTTTTCTGATGGTGGAGGACAGGGGATAGAATAGCTTTCTGCAGAGAAAATTCACATTAATTTTGATTTTTAAAATAATTTTTTATTCAGTTTTCTTGAAAAAATTCTCGTCTACACAATGCGCAACGACTAGAAGGTTTGAAAGGATTTTGAGGAGCTTCTTGATTCCAGAATGTGGTATTCTATTATTCTAGAAAGAAAGCGACGTCAATTACGTTGAGGACTTTCCTAGAAATGGAGATGAATTTGCAGATTTCAGTTTTCTGCAAATCAATAATATCCCTTGAGCCATGTAATGGTCGTGGTCTTTTCGAGACTTCGCGCAGATTCATGGAAGGACATGGGGTTCGCACAGGGAATTTTACCAGTTCAGAAATGGAGGTGTATTTGCGCGTCATTTTCTGCTTCTTTGTACGAAATCCATGTAAAGATAGAGGACTATGTGTCGCTGAACGGAGAGGCGCGGACTCTGCAACGCTCGCCTCTTGCATCTATCAAACATTATTTGTGGCAGGTGTCCGAGCAGCCACCCCTCCCTTCATACTTCGCCGAAAAAAGCTCAAAAGCAGCCCGAAAAAGCCTGAAAAAGCCGAAAAAAGCCCGAAAAAGCCCAAAAATGCCAGAAAGAGCCGGAACGCCCCCTTCCGCTTTGACGCTAAGGCATGGCGTTGATCTCACAACCGAGTCTTTTTGCTTCATTTTTTGTCATCTGCACATCAAAACAACGTCAGAATTCCACCATAATTTCGTTTCTGCGTTCCGGCTCTTTCGGTTTTTGGGGCTTTTTTGGGCTTTTCGGGCTTATTCGGGCTTTTTCGGTCTTTTTTCGGCTTTTTCGGTTTTTTGGACTTTTTCTTGGAGTGCTATTGGGTTTTTTCGGCGAAGTATGACGGATCTCTGCCAGTTTGAATCACATCCGCGGACTACCTGGTCCTGGAACGACATGCAACAATATTGCAAAAGGACCAGTTTCCAACGAAGGCGGGCTCAAATTGGCCTGAGTTCTTCTCCTCCTTCCTTTCGACATGTACCCCTCAACCTCGTAAACATAATGCGGACAAGTTTCCATCATTTGCTCTTCTTGTCCCAATACCACATACCTCCAACGTACTGCAGTGTTGATGGTTGTGTAATTCTGTTGATAAACTCCTCCTGCACCGTAGATCTCCTCCCATCTTCGTCGTATTCATTTCCAGGGTAGTATGAGCCACGGTAGTACTGAAAAAAAACATATAAAGCTTCGAAGAAAAGCAAAACTAGCTTACCGCAAATGTTTCGTTAAAATCTGGTGGCAATAGAGTCATGACGGATAAAACACCATGTGCTTCAGCCACTCGGATACCAGCTCCGGAATCAAACATCACATGAATTTCGGATTGATTATGATTCCTTTCCGGTGAGCGTATGGTAACGCCTAGAAAATCCGTCTTTTTTTTTGTTAAAGATAAAAATCTGGAGAGGGAAAGTCGAGTAAAATGCCCTTACCTGAGCATGTTGTTTTTAGCGAAGTTATCAGAGGATTTTAGTAAAAAGTGTTATACAGATAGACATGAATTTGGTTATTACCTCTGAATCTTTGCAGCTTCAGTTCTGGCGTATCGAAGAAACGATAATTTCCATTCACCACCACATCCATACGATAGCGCCACCTCAAGAAAGAATATGAAAAGCCAACAATACAGTATCTTATATGCGTGGTAAATTATAGGAAGTTGGAATATCACGGTGGTTTCAAGTTCCCTACCTTCTAAACTCTTTCCGCGCAAAAACTTGCACAATATCTGACTGATTTTCTCTAGCAGCAACTCCAGTAATGACCGAAGCATAGACCTCTTGATTCCCTGAAATACTTTAAGTTTTTGGAATCACATTCCATCCGATATAGGAAAATTAAAATATACTTTAAAGTGTCTGGAGTCAGGCCCGGCATATCAGTAAAGAGACTTGTCGTTTTACAATTTCTTTACTAAGATTAGTAAAGAGATCGAAAACAATATAAAAATACGGAGGATCGAGATTGAAAGAACATTTAGATATGAATTATTATATTTTATAGTCAGTTTGGTGAAATAGATAAGGTTCTTTGAATAAGATCATGAAGGCGTTAGAAGTTGAATTTAGAAGGTTTATCTAAAAGCTTGTCTTCAGTATTTTCCAGAAATCCGTCCCATGTGAAAGAATCTTCTTGATAGTTGTTGAAATGAGGAGCTCATATAGCTTCTGAGCGTAACTTGGGCTTACAATAAAAACTACAATGAAAACCGGAACAGTTACAAACATAAGCTTCCCCAATTCGAATAAGAAAAATTTGTGCTGATCGAAGATTGTATGAAAAAATTATAATTTTTGAGTAGAGTAAGCCTAAATCGGTTTTGCCCTTTACATTGTTTTCATAAAATTCATAACTTTCCTGGAGACTCCCAATCAGCACAAACTTTGTGCAGCTAGTAAGGTCACAAGGCTTATGTTTATGACTAGACAGTACGTTACCACATTTTTTGGTGAGCTTGCATAGAATCACCAAAACCTGAATTTTCTTCTTGCAGTTGTTTTTAGAAAGAAAATAGCCAAGTAGCAATCGACATCTACATAATTTTCATAATCCATTAGAACTCATACCAAGCAGATCGATTCAGATGGAAGGAAGTTACGATGTTTCAAAAATGATGAGAATGAATTCAACCTAATGTTAAGGTCACTTACAATCAGTTTTTGGCGGTTGTTCCATCCGAATTTGCACTTGGAAATCATGGCGAGGGTCTTTGCTCATTGTGAGAATATAATATCCCTGGAAAAGATAGGATGGATGGAGCAGTTTGACAGAATTAATCTCAATCTCGCACCTTCCCCTGGAAGGTGTACCGTGTCCCGTCGTAGGTCACAAAATGTGGATCACCATAGGCAATCCCTAAATACTTTCATTCTCTTTACAACGTCTTTTAGAATTCTCCAATTTTCATTTTGCTTTGAAAGGCGAACCTGCCACAGGCGGTATGTATTCCTGGCAGCCGCTGGTTTGTCTGCGCCAAAAATAAAACTCGCAAGCTCCGGCCCATTTGCAACATTTCTCATAAGCCATTGTATCGGTGTGAAAATTGGACAACGAAGGGACATAAGGAGGTCTTTTGAATGGGAATGAACCCATGGGATGTGCCCTAGAAGACAAAAATGTTCTCGGCGTTGTTTAAAGCGCAAGGTGATTGAGAAAAACCTCATAGCTGTTCCCGGACTGAAAAATCTCAAATGTGCAGCGTTTTCATAGTCATCTGAATGCATCAGCCATCCTTCGTAATCATAGCAGCAAACTTGACCGGCTCCTGTCCACCTATAAAGTGGCGTATATACTTCTAGTCTAATTAGACAGGAAAGTTGCGCTTACGTTGACGCGACGCTCATCACACAATGCTGTGAGCCCTTATTGTACTCACAAGAAGCATCTCCGTCGCGATCGCATCCGATCAGCGGCATGTATCTTCCTAAAAGAATGAACAGAAAATTCAGTCAAAAACATTAGAAAGAAAGCGAAGATGACAAAAGTTGCAGCACCAAAAGTAATGAATTTATTTTTCTAAGAGAAATATTTACGGATACTTGTGACCTACCCAAATCCAGCATGGCCTGATCGAGAGTGCATGGACATGGTAAAAACGGTTCGAGATCCATAGCAAAATTTACCCGCTTACCATCGTAATCGAACCAATCCTAGAAATGCGAAAAAATGTATCGTCGATTCGTTGACCGCACGGACTGGAAACCGCCGCGGAGCACGCGCCGCGTGGTAAAACGCTTGCCCCAGTACAAATTCGCCATAGTACAAACCGTGCTCTCGCAACATTTTAGCCGCGCCGCGCGTGGTCCGTAGCGCTGGAGCAGTCCGTACGGTCAATGAATCGACGATAGGTTTTCCGGTAGCAACGTAATCCATCTGGGTAAACCAAACTCCTGGAATCTCAAATCTCTCCTGAACTTCGCGTTGGAAATTAAGGCGTCATGGTACGCCAACTAAGCGGCCAAAATTTTAGGGGATTTGCCTTACGAGATTTTTTATAACGATCCTCACGAGAGCATATCCATTACTTGCGTCAACGACTTCTGTGGAGATGCTGTTGGATTTTGTACACATCGTGAGGGTATATTTTAAATATGATGTTTGGATTGCTTGCCGAGTACTCAACTCTTCCAAGAAAATAACTCGCTTTGTCTTTATAATACCATTTTTGTAACCAGCCAATTGAGATATTTCTTCTACAATCAGAGAGATTTGACATACTGATGATCTGGATTACCAATAGAATGACATTATTCAGTGATATTGTAAGGAAACGTTATGCTGCTTCGAAATTTATTATACTAGATTAACCCGAGAATGATGGTGTGTTCTCATTCGAATTGCTATAAAAATTTCATTTGTTTTTAATTTGTTATAAATTGTTGGGAGGTGAATCTGAGTTTATACTTTCACATATCAACTATTCAAAATTTTTATTAGCGGTAAAGTACAGTTTTGTCCCTAAATCGCTAGATCTTCAAAATTTAGTTCTTCAATTTTCAAAGTTTTTACAAGCTTTGATAGAACTAACTTGGCAATGGATACACACAAGTGTTTTCTATTCAGTGATTAACGAAAATAAAAATCGTGATTAGCTGTTATGAATTCACAAGTAAGAGATTTTTTGACATTTGTGCATCACGCAAGAATCTGGGTATTTACTTCTTTGCCCCTTTTCTTCATTGGAAGGACTAAAGTACTCTTGACAAAGATACCTAACAGTAGCAAAAATATGTCCGCAACATTTTCAAAAGACTCAGATCAAAAATTATCGATTGGCCAACCTAATACTAGATTATTTACCTGGCAAAGTTCCAGCGCCCAATCTCTCCCATATTCATATTCCCAAACATCGCGAAAGTACCATCCAAATGGTGTAAGCTTGCTCCAGAAAACTCTGTAATGCAAAAATTTTAAGACTTAAAATTATTATCAGCCATAATTTGGACGCCATAAATTTTATGAAGTAGAGAATAGCGTCAATATTCACCCTGTGCTTTCATCAGTATCCGAAATAGAAATTCTGACACCGCCAAAGGAATATCGTCTCCATGAGTCGAATAGCATGCTTGTTCTGGCTAATGTTCGTGGATCGAACTCGTACGATCCATCATTGGAAGTTCTTTCCGCGATCGTACCTATCTGAAGTTGGATTGTAATAGCTGTCAGAAAGTGTATTTTTGAGAAAAGTTTTGTCACAAACATTTTTTGGATCAAATTATAGTTTAGTTTCTGATAAAAAGAAATTCTTACCTCTTCAAAAACATGATCATCAGTGTCCTCCCAGTATCCCATTAATTTTATATCCACCATTGCATTCATGTCATTGGTCAAATTATACGGTGCCCATTCAAGGCGGAGACGCGTAGCGTTCGCGCTGCGCCAGTTATTATGCAGTTCTCGAGGATTGTCGATCAGTTTGATGGCCGGAGTAGCAAGAGCGGGTTGCACTGAAAAAATTTAGTTTTATCTCATTTGCTGATTAGGATGCCCTCTATCAAAAACAACATAAAATCATCAGAAGAAAGAGATAAGGATTTAGTCGTGCATCAAGGCCAACGTTGAAAATAAGCGCTGCGGTCGCGTTGTGTCTACTGGACCACGCGGTGCTAATGTAATTTATTATTTCAGAAATACTAAAAAATTAAAACCGCGTTCTTTTCCGGATAAAGCTTCTACGGTGTATAACCTCTCTTTCCTCTTCACAGCCAAATAATTTTAGTGGAGAGGGGGGGGGGGGGGAGGGGAGGGGAAAGGGGAATATTCATGGCAAAGATTTTAGTGTTACTTACATAAATAGAATGTGCCAACATAAGGATAACTTTGTCCACCATCACGGCTCATTCTTACGTTCACCAAACCAGTTTTGTACATCCGGTTGACGGGTAAAACACATTGAGCTCTGTGCATATTCAGCTGGAAATTTGAGTTTTAAGACGTAGATATACAATCATTTGACTAACCCTAACACAATCCACTTGGTACTCATCAAATATCACTTTGACCACATCCCCTCCACGTAGACAGGGACCAGAGACATTTACATAAACTCCGCCAATCATCGTTGCAGCTATGGGAGCCGTCGTCAAATACCCTAAACACCGGTTCCGTAAATTACAGGTAACTCGAAGACCATTATCCTTTTTATAGTTCGAAGATATTTCCAGGTTGCTTTCAAATTTGTCCATTTTCTCAAAATGTTACGAAAGTGTAAAGGCGCCAAACTTCACTGGTAGATCAATGATAGACTGTATGAGTTTGCAAAAGATTCAAGAAAAAAAGTGATTCAAGAAACAGCCAAAATTTTTGTATATGACCTACGAAAAAGATTAAAAATTCAAGAAAAACTGACCAATACTCTCGTTACTGCATCCACCACGTATTATCTCTTCATCAACTCGGAACAGCCATCTTCCCGGTACTCCAACATTAGAAAACTCTAAAAAAATCATAGTTAACATTCTATGATTTTCATGGGAATATCAAATGGAAAATTCTTCAATCGTATAACGAACTCTTTATAAGGAGAATGAATCAAATGGAGAATGCTATTGTATGACGAAAAGAAACGAAAGGCAAAGAGCGGAACCAGAACTCCGTGTGTTTATGCATTTTATCGAGTTAAAATTACCCAGCAGTGTCGGTCCGAGATGAGGAGAATAAAATTTTTCGAATGAGAGGAGTAGCGCTGGCAACGCCCCAACAAATTAGTTGGGGATGCTTTTCAATTTTTGCGGGACTACGATTGTGGAAGTCTAACGAGAAGGGCGTAGTCAGCCAAGCTCCCAGGGTTTTTTTTACCATAGTTTCATTCAAAAAATTTGGGAAGGTATCATTGGTCACAAGTAGAGGAAGCCACCTGCATAATTTACCAAGTAATGTGAGCTATCCCAAAAATTTTGCGACCGCTGTTTCAAGGGGGGAGACGGTCAAGAGGCGCGATTTCTCCGGCTGTCACCAACTCATAACTCCAGTTTAGTGCTATGCGAGTCTTAAAAAGTACCAGATAACATTAGCTTACTAACTGTCTGAGGTTACCACTTGCTGAGTTTGGTGGCTTTTGCTGGAAAACGGACCGAAATATTTACAAATTTGTTCTTAACTGCATTTTCACGGGTTTTTGTCCTCTAAAATTGCTTTTTTGAATTTGTTTTAAGGTAGCAGGATTGAGGAATCCTTGCAACTATCTAATATATCTCCTTTAAAAATTCAAAGACCTTTAGAATGTTATAAAACACCTATTATGTGCTATTTGGTGTCCATCTGGCAATAAAAATCGCGCCTCTTGACATACACCCTTTCAAGGGGGGGGGGGGGAGGCACTGAACGAGTACTATTTCTCCTTCCCCTTTCCCCGCCCCCTGACATCAAGTACAAATGAAAAAGAAGAGTTTACCTTTCAGCTTAATTACTCGGCCTTCTCCAGAATAAGGAAGCGGAGTCCATCCAGTACCGTTTCCTGCATTGAACCCAGCCTAAAGCACAATTAAGAATGATTTTATGGGAACTTTAAATAGGGAGAAAAATGTTTAGTGACTCACAATTGCACTTTGGAGGCCACCTCTTCCTTGTAGGGCACCGGCCGTATTTGACGAAGTCCAGTTGATGTGCGCATAGTTGAACATAATATAGCTAAAGTAAATCGAGGTTTGCGACGTTGAATAAAAAAATAGAATCAGCGCTAACGACAGGTGCCAAGGGCAATAATGGGAAGTGCTTTCCCTCCAAAATGAGATTTTCTTACCTCCTTATTTCATCAGTCGCCAAAACGACTTGATAAGTATTTGTCCAGCGTTTCGCCTCTTCGTAGCGATTTACCTGAAGACATACAGAAGTATTCAGTAATGATCTTGGTAAGGCGCATATTGGCACTTGCGTTAAATTTTGGAAAAGATTATCACACTTTCAAACTTTAAACTTCTTATTGTAATCAAAATCAATGATACCTACATTTACGCACCAATTCAAAAAATTTTTGTGACGATTAACATATCAGACAAGTTGTAATTGTATGCGTTGTGTAAATGCACAACCCACAAGAAATCAGTAATGCAACATGAGGTGTACGGTAGCGATAGTGTGGCATGTACATACCGGCGGCGTGGCGTTATGGAGCAAAGCTACGCCGCATTCGCTTGCGGTATATCCTGAGGGCCCTTTGCGTTGTGTCGCTCCTAATTGCACCCGCAGAGGAACTAGCGTTACCCAGCGGATCGAGTCATTCTCGAAATTCTTCTTCTGTAAAGAGACCAGAATGCGGAAGTTAAACGAATTTTGAGGGTGAAAAAATAGATTCTGAGGAAGAAATGTTTGAAATAAAGGCTTGGAAAGTCAGTAATGAAATTTTCTGTCCCTTTTCTCTACTAATTCTCTTGTTACACTTGAAATCCGTCTTTTATTCTCATCGAGATTCAGCCTTTGCATCCGTAAAATCCATCTATTTTTCGATTTTAAATATCATTATTGCATTCATGCAGTTTGCACATCTTCTCACGCAGCAATAGGAAGTGGCTCAGTTCGTTGTCAGCGGTGTACTCCTGCGGCTGCAATTAAAGGCGACGCAACGCAACTGGCCCTCAGGATATACCGCAGGGGAATGCGGCGCTGCTTTGCTCCATAACGCCTGCCCCCCGTACATACCTGTGTAACTTTCGGTGCTCCACCGTATGCCATACGCTCCCAGGTGACTATAACCGCATAATCAGCGCGAAATCCATTGGCACCAATAATTCCTTCACGAATAGCCATTGTGATATTATCCAGAAGATAGGTGTCTTCTACTCGACCCCACATCTAAAGAAAATTTGTGAGTTGAAAAAAAGGCTTTCAAAATTCTAAAGTATTATTCTCCGACCTTTTTCTCGTAGCGATCTCTATGCGTCTCGAACATGCTGCTATATTGACTTCCAGTCTCCATCAGAGGGCTGCCCCACTCGTCAAATGTTTCGAAGGCTCGTGGCCGAAAAATTATTCTGAAAATTAGAAGATAAATCTTGATCGATAAAGGTCGTCCTCTTGAGAGTCTATAAATGTTTATCAACTTTTACGAGCTTCACAGTTTGAACTAACTCTTATAGGCAGGCACTTCATATGAACTTTTAGGTTAGATTTACTAAAGCCTTAGCGAAATCGAAGAGGTACAAAGAATTCATAGAACTTGGAATTACGGGGAAGATGGGGAAGGGGGGGGGGGAGGGGAAGTAATGAGATAAGAGTTCAATGAAATAAGTAATCTTCCTATTTGCTTCCACTCATCCCAATGTTCTGATCATGCGCAATGATCCGAAATATCATACTATCTTGGCGCCATTTTGATTGGCTGAATTACGCAATGGGCGGATTCAACCAATCGCAGGTAACAAAATTTAGCCGGTTCAAATTTCGCATCAAATTCTTCGAACTCTGATTAACGTCGGGCAGTTATATATTTGGAATAACTCACCTATACCACACATTGGAAATTCCTCTTTCACCCACGAATTGAAAGATTTGGTCGGCATAGAACGCGGCAATGAAGGACGCATCCTAAAAATTTGGTGAAAATACTCGGAAAGTTTTTCACCAGTGGCCGTATTCATCAACGAAACCCTTGGGTTCCGGAACCCACTGGGTTAGTGCTTTTGGAATATCGATACTTCCCTGGAGTAGAATCGATATTCATCAAAAGCACTAACCCAGTGGGTTCCGGAACCCACGGGTTTCGTTGATGAATACGGCCACAGATTTACCTATCAAATGTGAATTGGTAGAGAATAGCTCACCTTTTGCTCTGGCCATCGAGGATTTGGGAATGTGTATGGAGGTTGGATAAACTCAGGATCGGAAAAAGCCAGAAGACCATTCGGATAAATCTAAAGCTGATGGAGTATTTGATTTGACAAGCACAAAAACTGCTCAAAAAATTAGCTAAATGATGATTGGAGATGTTAATCAGAAAACTCACCATAGTGTAGTTAAAACGAAAGCCGTAATAGGGAAAATCGAAATCGAAATCGATTTGTCGATCATGATGCGGCTTATTGAGCAAATTCGCATCGTTGTAGAGTGGTCCATATGGGAAAAGATGCCACCATCCTGAGAAAAAGATGGTTTACCTGATGCCAAAGAAAACCGAGGAATTGTACCGACCTTCCTCTTCTCTAAGGTCCATGTATTTTTCTCGCTGATCCAGTAATGATGGATCGATATGGCCAGGATTTGGCATGTAGTTAAAAATCGGATTCCGATTGCCAAAGAGGTCAATTGTGGACATTTCATTGTATGTTTGCTGAGCTACAGTAACCGCTACTTGGAGGAGTAGCCGGAGCGATGGCATCACCAGTTAGTGCCTTGAAAGGCGCAATAACAATATTTTGATTTCCTTAGTCATCAAACATAATGATAACAAGTGCTAGGATAGTGTCGTAAACAGCCGCGATGAAGTCTTGGGCTACTCGAGAGTTTTTACAAGTTATTCGCTCTGCACACATTAGATAGAAACAAACGAGGTTAATTAAGACCTCAACCATACTTCGCACGATTTCAATCGCCACCGATTTGGCAATTTGACAGATGTCTTCGTATGTCACACTATTATAATTCGAAAGCGCAGTACCTATAACTTATGTAGGCTGATAAAACGACTTACATTTTGAGAAACCAAAATGAGAGGAGGAGAGAAGATGTATAAACTATAGAGATACAACTTTTGGAACATTGCCAAATCGCGTGACGACTGAAATCGCGTGAGGTAAATCCATGGCTAACGAGGGAAGGATACTTGGTGACCGTGGCCTTTTGCAATGAGATGTATACCAGTAGATGCGTCTTAGAACGCTGATTCTAAACCTATGTTCACTTTCTGCTGTGCGACTCCCTGAACGAAATTATGGACTACTTTCCATATTGATTTTGCGAGATTTAGGCAGTCAAAATCGTCAGTATCCAGACTTTTTAGACTCTGATGTATGACAATTTTCCTAAACTTAACGTGAAGCTTTTCTTCATCTGTACGTTCTTTTCTAGTGCGTAAGCGAACATTCTAGGGATATCCTGCATCAAAAACAGTGCAAATTTTTGCTGACAAGAAATGTCCATAACTTCTTCGGGAAGAGCGCACAGCAGATAAAGAAAACATATGGAATCAGCGCTTCAAGATGCATTTAATGTTGTACGTTTCTTTTCAAAAGGCCACGGTCACCAAGTATCCTTTCCTTGTAAGACCGACGATCACAGAAATGACTTGAGTAGCTGATACGAAATCGTGCGGGGGTAGCGCAAGTTGAAAAATCAGTACGTGTGAAACCAAAGGTTTGAACTTGTTTGAATGCTCGAAGACAAGAAAAACACTTTTCAATGATTATTTGCATGAGTTTTTCTTAAAAAACCAAACACAAAGGCAGTTTCAGCTACTGAACTACCAAGCCCTGGCTTTAGTCGAGCTCTAGTCAGCTTGTAAGTAACAACGCCGAACGCATTTTGTGTACTGAAAGATTTGATAGATGAAAAGATATTCAAGTACAAAATATCAATAAGCACAGAGTGTGCAGCCGCTTTGCGTATGATCAACATATCCGTTGATAGAGGTGACCCCAGTCCCGGTCACTATGGCCGCTAAGCTCATAATTGTACCGCACACCTAACGAATGAGCCGTGCATAGCTGTCATCAGCGGTAATATAGGCTTTAGGGAACAAATTCACTCAAAGAAAAAACGCTCAAACATCAGAAAAGCTATAGGTCCACTTTGCTCAATAACAGCAGAAATACTTGGAAAAATTCCAAAGATTTTCCAAGGGTAACTCGCTGGAAACTGGGTATTATTGGCTTTCTTGCCTCTTAATTTTACTTTCTACTCATACCTTTCATTAGGTCTCTGAATCAGGGATTATCTGCAGATGAACTCCAGAAACTCGTTCAAGTTTGCTCTACTGTGAAACTCGGTAGCTCTCAAAAATCATTTGATTTCCTGTTTTTCCGGGAATCACAAAGATACCTATAAATTCGCCACCCGCTTCGCTGAAATCTTATTTCCTCGTCAACTTCGCCATGGTTAAGGTTCTCTTGGACATACCAGACATACCACATTTCAGTCGCATGATCTTTCATACGTCCACGGCGTTGTCTTTTGTCATCATAATCTTCATAACATTGCCCTGGCTTTGAAAGTAATGTCTTGCAAAGCCGTTAACGTAGGCATTTCCAGCATGACCATGACTTCCAGTCCTCTGAATGTGTGATAACAGCCAAACTCACCTTCTCTCTATTTGGAGGAAAAACAAAATGAAAATCTTTACAAATCTTCATTGAAAAAAACTCCGTGGAGCTTCAGGCCTTATCGTAATAACCCAAGAAGGATATATTTATCATATACGCTAGCATAAGCATCTGCGATGACAGACATATGCTGTTTAATTTCGTTTTCAGATCTTTTTTTCTCTCCGGTTCGTTACTCTTCATAAAACAGGTTTCATTACTCCTGTGAGTTGTAATGTGCTCTACCAGCATACAATCTGCAAGGCCAAGAAAATGTACAGTATTTATAACACCAAAACAAATACTTCTCCCAGAGATCCCGAATAAAAATTGATCTGCATAACCAACTTACTTGATTAACTTTATTGAGCTTTCCTTCTCATTATGAAAATTTTCTGTAGCTCCGTGTCTGGAAACTACGTCTTTTCTATCACCAAAGTTCCAGAACAAATGTGATGGTATGCTGGTCCTTCCCTCCCAAAACACGTTTAATCCTATTATTTTGAGTAATACTGCAAATGAAAATATCTATAGGTCCAACTCAGTGAAGGTAAGAAACTTCTTTACTCGCACTCGTCCATACCTGAAATGCCACGAAGTGCCACATCGACAATGGCAGGTGAGATTTATGGAAATGCTCATTCATTTTTTATCCATGTGTTGTCCACTTCGCTTTCTTCCTCTTCGGCTGTCTAAGATTTATGGCCTAAAGACGAATCTGGCTAATTGCAGGGCATGCCATATACGATGTATCGAGAGACAACACTCGGCACGGCGCTGACGAACACTCTGGACGAGTTTCTCGAAGAAGGCTTGATTAGTCGGACATTGGCAGCTAAGGTTTTGGCAGCTTTTGATGCCAATATAAATAAGGCTTTGTCCTATAAGGTTAAGAACAAGGTGAGCTTCTCTAACGATGTTTGTAAAGTTCATCAACTACACATCAAATGAGCCGCTTTGTGCGAACGAGAACTGGTCCCTCGACAATTTAAAAATTTCTTACGATTCAAAACAGAGTTTATCATTGAATAAAAATCTACTCATGACGCTTAGGCCCCGGTCAGACTTCACGCGACTTAATCGTCGCGACCAAATCGCCAAGATTTCCATTCATTTTCATTTCATATTCAAAAATTTCGGGCTGAAAAAGTATCACAACCGAATGCAAGTTGATCGACATGGAATGATGTTGTAACAGTTGTCTCGTCGCGATTCAGTCGCGACGATCAAATCGCGTGAAGTCTGCCCGGGGCCTTAGAAGAATCTGTGATTATTCTACATTCTACTGAGTTTCTATAAACACATGCAATGACCTCTTTGATCCGGGCAAGACCAGTGGCCGTATTCATCAACGAACCCTGAGGGTTAAATTTACCCCCAGGGTTAGTTTAACCCTCAGGATTTATTGGCCGTATTCATCAACCATAGAGTAGGGTTTGCCACGGAACGCAATCCACCCGTATCGATCAACGAACCTGTGGCCGTATTCATCAACGAACCCTATGGTTGATGAATACGGCCAATGAATGAACTCTGAGGGTTAAACTAACCCTGGGGGTAAAGGCGTCAGTTACGCGTGCGCTGTGCAAACTCACATCACAGAATGCCTAAGTACGTACTAGATTCACTTTATAATTCTATTCTTTCACTGTTATATATATATATATATATATAAAACTCAAAAATTGTCAGTTTGTAGGGTATGTGCGTTATAGAAACGCGCGCCACTCAACCGATTCAGCTGAAACTTTGCACACATATGTTTTCGTCCCTTGCGCAGATGATAGGCTACTTTTTGCGGCGATTCGTTGGTCCTTCTATCGATTTATTGATTTGTTTGCATTTTCCTAAGGAATTGAAGGGTTATCATGTTCAATCAAGCATTTTCCATACTCATGTGAAGGAGGGCGGTGAAGCTCATTTTCCCTCAGGATCACGAGGATGCGGTTTCCAAGTGGATGTCCCAGGGTAAGTCATCCATACCATATAGGGCGGGGGGGGGGGGGGCTCGCAGTGCGGTGAACCATGGCCCGGGCTGGACCGGGAAAGCCAACTAGTAGTAGTATAATCGACGAATAAGCTTCTAACACTAGTTGTTATAATACATCTCTAACATATTTGTGCAGCATTCAATCTTAAGCGTGAGTTTATTTTCATGTGTGCAATTGTGCCGTGTAAGTTCTACTTTTGCGCAGTTCGTTTTATACCGGGCCTGTGCTACTCTTTTGGGGGTCAATGCGTGCTATCATAAAGTGGTTCTTCTGTCTTGGCACTTGTCAGAGTGAAATGCGCAACCATTTTCCTCATCGCATTCATTTGTCACCAAAGCTAGAATTCTTTTTCTCGCGAACTCAGTGTTTCATGTACTTCGAATTTGAACATAAAACGAAGTCGAAACTAAATACTATAACAACAATCTAATATACTGAATACTACAATACTCGTTGATCGTTTTTCATAAAACTGTTAGATGCGAAATGTTTGTATGAAGTGTCAGGGTAGAGTTAACCTTGCTCTAAGCTAAGGTTAAATTAACCCTGATGAATTACGTAAGTTTTACCCCCCAGGGTTAGTTTAACCCTTAGGATTCGTTGATGAATACGGGTTAATCGCTTTCGAGGTAAGGTTTACCCTCAAGGGTAGATTTAACCCTCAGAGTTAAGCCTACCCTGTGTTTCATGCATACGGATTAATCGCTTTCCAGGGTTAAACTAACCCTCCAGGGTTAGTTTAACCCTCAGGGTTAGTTTAACCCTCAGGGTTCGTTGATGAATACGGCCACAGCTATCTAAGGCTTTCACTTTGAGATATCTACAAAGCAAAATTTTCTAAAAAAGTTTGCTGTCTTTTCATGCGTTCTAGAATGTGATTTACTATACGACAAAAATCTTTGGGCACTTTGAGAACCACTTTTCGTAAATTTTGACCCATCCACGCGAACAACAATAAAACTTTGTAACTAAAAAAGAATAACAGCGTTACTCTATGACTATCGAGATGACTTTTCAGATGCAGTTCAAAGCTGACAAACTTCTTGCTTATCGCTACTGTGACAATGTTTGGACGGTCATAATGAAAGGTGTTGAATTCCATGATGTGTTCTGGCCAGTGTCTCACCGAGTTGAGAAGTATGTAAAACTAAAATGATTTTTTCGAACATCAATGATTTTCTTTCCAGGCTGAAAATTGTTGCCTGTGAAGCATTGCAACATCAGAGCACGCTGATGTCAGCGCTTCAAGATATTCAGCAACAACCGTGATTGGATGTTTATAGAATAACGTGCTCAAATGTCATAGTCATCGAGTTTTCCTTTTTGACCTCACCGCTTATTTATGATTGTGTTTATCAATCAATAAGTTTATGTAGTGCATGTGTAACTTCCTCTTTTTTTTTTATAAAAGTGAATCCACTTTTGCAACATGAGAAATCGTCCTTTCCCATCTAATCCACTGGAAGAAATTTTCAGTAATCCATTACAATTTTCGGATCTGTTTCCCCAAATCACATATCACCACATTTTTGAGGCACCGCTAACTAGATCTTGTTTAGACCAATGTCCGCTCAAAATTCTCATTCAACAATGATTCAAAATTTTGGAGGTTTTGAGCATACAAAGTGAAACTTTTTTTACCAAGTGGAATTCCGACGAAATTACAGCATTCCTCTGAGGAGGTGCTCAATGGAGGTATTCGTTCCTCTGCCCCGCTTGGGAGCGGAGGGTGGCGGGGGGTGGGGAGGGGAACTGACAATATTTAGTTGTTGACTGTACATATCGGCGATCGCGCTCTTCGTTACGGCGGGCTTACGGTAGAAGAAGATGAGCGAGGTATCGGACACAAAAATTACGTAAAGCTTCGCTCAAAAACCACCACGTTTTGTAAGCACTCTAAAAAATTTTCTTCCTCCAAATTTCTGTATTCCCTCGAAAAGGCTGATTCCACGATACATATCTCAAAATTCAACTCACACATTTCGAAGTGGATAAGACATTCAAAACGGGTAGTGCCCAAAAATGTGACCTTTAGGGTGAGGGGAAGCAGGTGGAACCCTGTAAATACTGCAAAACGCAAGGCCAAAGCAGTGTGAGACGTGTACGCACTTCACTCTATATCTGCATCTTGTTGATCAAGACTTCTCTCCTCTTTCACCACAGAAAATAATGGAGTTGTCGGTAATAATGGAGTTTTAGGCGAATTTGAATGTTTTTTTGCCCCAATTTCTCTCGCATGGAACATGCAGGTGATGAAGTGGAGATTATTACATCTCAAAAAATAAGTCTTCTTATATGAAATATTCTCTGAGAATGCTGTACCGGCTAAAAAGTCCGAGATTCTAGCTACCTATTTATTAGGCTGACTTTCGCCGATTCCGCCTTCTTCAAGGCCTCAAACGGGCTAAAACATTTGAATACTGTCAATACGTACCACACGATAATCAATACATCTCTGTCCACAAGATTCTGCAAATTCTAGCAAGGGAACGATCCCAAGTTGAGGCGGCAAACGAAACGCTATTATCAGATGCTGATTACAAAACTACCTTCCATATCTGCAATGCGATTTTTTGGAAGAAGTTATGGGCGATTAAAAGTTGAGTTAAGAAGTTTCAATAACGTGCTTTGGAAGCGAAAAAATTTAGGAGTGCTTGATAATGAGTGTACTGATAAAAGAGTGCTCACAATTACCGCAAACACAAATACATACAATCGGTGTCAACCACGTGCTCCTTTTTCCATGGTAGTTACGCATCCGCAGCGCGCGGGCATTGCGCAGCGATCTCTGATGAGGGCGTATCGTTACGTGCGGTCTTCAAATTGGAAAACGTCGCGCGCGACAGGCTGCCAGTGACCAGACTCGGGTAATTCAGCCAGCATGATCCGCAGCACACAGTTTCTCAGTTTCTCATCCTTTGTTGAAGTTCACAGACTATTCTCATATTAGTTTTGCTTAGTTATTTGAAGTTTTGCCGTAGAAGTTGTAAAATGAGCTCTTTGAAGGATAAAAAAGACACTAATTGAAGAAGGTAAAATACTAACAATATAGGAGAAGCATTGGTAATCTAGTGGTATAAATCTGACAAGTTTTCTGCACTGCTGCTTCCCGCGCGCGGTCACTTTGACGCCGCGTCGCGACGTTTTCCATTTGGCAGACCGCACGTAACGAGCGCCCCCCATCTCTGATCGATGAGGTAATTTGAACGCTCAAGCGGTACGCCCGCGCGCCGCACAGGGCTCCAGCGTTCCGCTTGAAATGACCGCAAGGGAGCTCATCGTTGAGACGAGTTGTGTCTTGAGGGTGTGACGCTGGATGTTTCCCATATCTGGACTTTTGAACGCACATAACGTTTTAAAACGGCATTATTACAGATAAGGGATAGAGGAACGAAAGCCGCCAGTTTGGGCCGACTCGGCGGACTGCTGGTCCTGGAACGGCATGCAACAACACTGCAAATGGACAACTTGGCCGCGAAAGGCGGCTCGAACTGGCGCTTTCGGTCTCCTACCCCAGATATAGAGATAAGCTTTGGAATCAGCTGGTCAAGACAACTAATGAATGTCTCCTATTACAATTCGGCACTCCTACTTGAGGTCGTTTCCTTGTGAGCTTTTTCGGATCACAGGCATTTACGACAACTTTATAAATATTTCACCAGCTATCACAGATATACAAGAACGTAGCAAACAAAACAATATGAAAATGAACTAAAATATATTAGCAAACCGTTGTACTGAGTTCGAGGAAGGTTCTGCTCATAAACACTACCTCTGGCATACTACACAGCAAACAAGATCAACTCCTGGAGCTCGTTGCCCTTGAAGTTGGGGGCGTAAGCATTCGCATGTTGCTAGACGTCGCAGGGATTCCTGTAAAAACTTGGCATAAATCAAAGAAGATAGTCTAAAGTAAAAGCTTTGTTATGAGTGAAAGCATATTCATTCAGTGAATTTGCCGCTGCGGTGCTGACAACACTTGCGCGTGGGACATTATCACTGGGTGCAGATTTTGGAAAGGTAGCTACATTTGGCCTCTTTTACGCGCACTTGTTGTTATTGACTTATAAGCATGGTGATTTTGCGCAAGCATTGCTGGCATTACATATAGAAGAAATTTTACATCTATTTTTGGCACCGGTGAGCCACACATATCCACCTCCGATGATAAACTCTAAAAATGGAAAAAGTAAGATTTGTCTAAATTCGTTGTTTTCTTCAACAAAACAAAGCTTCACTCTCCTAAGTGTTTTGATTTTGAAGGGATGGTTATCGTTATGAATTGAAAAAAAAACCTACCGTATTCGGGCAGCATGATCGCAAAACTTTGCGAAGGCTACAATCCGTACACGGTAAGCACTGTAGTATAGCGGAACAATCCATAAACGAAACAAATTCTGGTAAAGCACCATCCGACGGAGATTGTTTCAAACGATGTGGCTGAAAATATGCCAGTGAGCTCTGCGATCTAACAAAAAAAGCAAAAAAAACTCACATGTTTTGTGGAAAGGAAGACAAATACAGCAGCAATAATCAAACACCAAATAACTATTGCTATAAGCACTATAAGGGGGACTAAGGTTTCAAGCGAGATTTCAGGAAATACAAGTGGTTTTGCAGTAGTGGTGTCCATGCTAAATCATGGTCAGCGGTCATGTAATATAGATTTCGGACAAGCTGTTGGTTACTATGGTAACATTTGCGCGAATTTCCTGAAGAGAGCTAACCTACCGCATCGCCTTGAGAAAGCACGTAAATGAAGAAAATCGCAGTAAGTAAGCATAGCTTTGATAAACGAGCAAACAAACAAATTTGTGAAATCTGCATTGGATGAACTCCAAAATGAAGAGAATTATTAATGCAACAATCCATAGTTCTCAAACTTTTGCTTTTCCGATTCGTCAAGTGCTAAGTAATTACTCATGCCCGACTTCTGAACTGTGGCATTTTGCTATTTCGAATTGACCACTTTCAGACTGCTAAGCGTACTTAACACATTGACGGGCGCTTCATACCTATGGTGTGTCAAGGCTTGTAGTTCGTTGAAATGGCAACTATTTTGAGACAACCCCACTCTAGGGTTTTTCGCTTGCACTATATGTAGAAACAACCTTCATCTTTTTTATCAGCCTTTCATAGTTGCTGTAAGTAGATATACTGTCGGTGATAGTGTGCACATTTAATCTAAAGATTGTTGTCTGATCAGTAAAAGATCTACCCACAAGTAAACAATAAAAAAATCTGCATGGTCGTCAATTTGGATAGTTATATGCTAATTCGGTAGACAGAAGGTCTATGTGTCGGCACGTTTATTATTTACGACCTTCAACAGCACAGAGCACTCGAGAATTCAAAAAAGATATCTTCGGTGAATTTGAGTCGCAGTCTAGCACAGTGACGCAATGAAAGCTGGTTCCCTTGTTTCGAAAGCTGGCTTACTTCAGATAAACCATCCTTACCCGATTGGCGAGTACGAACTGTCGAAAAATTGCTTATCCTAGGCGAACCTCCATAGTATACAGCTACTGGAGATCCCGACATCCCCTCCATTTCTTACAAAAGCTCGTCCTCAAGCTTGTTTAGCAGTTATCGACCAGTCCACAGTGTCACGCGAGACCATAGCAAACTTCGGCTCAAAATCAGCTCAGGTGATGTCGGAAGAACAGAATTATGCGGACCAGAACGACCGAATTTTACTTCAGGACATTTGTTTGGCCTATGAGTATTTATTTCACCTAACGTTTCGGCGCACGAAGCCTTTGTCAGTATTACCTGAATAGTCGATATTATCAGTGACATATCCTTCAGGCCCCGGGCATACTTCTCGCGATTTCGGTCGCCTCGCGATTTGGCCATTTGCCAGATCTCTTCAAACTAACACTTGCAGACCACAGCTTGGTGTATTCAACTTTTGTGAGTCGATAAGTGTGCCATATTTTGGCGCTTAGATTTAGTTTGCGACGAGTTATAAGCAACAGGAGTACTGCCAAGTCCCGTCGCGACTAAAATCGCGTGAGGTATGCCCGGGCTTCAAACGCTTGGTTCAACCACAAGAGACCAAACAAGATGGGAAGCAGACAAACGGGGACAATCATTTCTGGAGCGCCTGCTTACTTCGACAATCTTGGTAGAGTGTTCCGTAAAAGTAAGAAAACCAGAGAAATATTGGCTGTTAGCCAAACCTCAATTGTTGTTCGTGTGTACTACGGAAAACTCTGAAGCAGCGTTTACTTCTTCGGCGCAACACCTCATAATGTCATCCTCACATGCCTTGCAATGGAAAAGGGGAAGGGAAGCATCCATTTTATTCAAAATGATCATAGATAGCACCACTGCAGCATTTCAGACATGAATTTCATGTGGCAAATAAAAAACAACTGAAGGAGAAATGAAATGAAACAGTGTCATTACCAATGACATCGAAGTAGATGTGTGAATTAGAAGGCATTCTTTTGGTGAAGGTGCTGGTCTCAATAAAGAAAAAGAAAAAACATCAGACATATGCAAAATACCTACAAAAATTTATGGGAAATAACAGAACAACGTCATTATGGCGAGTATTCACTACATATTCAGTGAAACCAGGTAATCGAGATAGACAGATAAAAAGTGCATAAATAACTACATTCCCCTAGAAAATTTCCATTTTTGTGTAAATCAGAATGAAAAAAATGCAAGTGCAAGTAAAATAAAACTTTCTTCCATATAAAACAGTTGAAAATAGTCACATAGCCGTATAAGGACTGACAACGTCACAGAGTTGAGTATAAGCCTTGAACGCTAATTTATGGAATAAAAATGACTAGACACGAGCGATATGAGCAGATTTGAAGCAAAATGCACCAGTTGCCATTGTCAAAGATATGACAGTGCAAGCACGGAGGTGCACATATGGAGCATGCTACTCTTCACATTGCACTTGGAAGCAAAATTATGCTTAATTAATGAATAGCTGACTTACGCATGTAATGCTATCTTATTCAAGTAAAACAAATTCCTGGGAAACCAGAATTTCTGAGTAATTCTGCGAAAGGACTGCGAGCAGGTGATGAGCTATTGAAATGACACGCAACGAGCATGGGTCGGAAAGATAAAAGGTCCAAGGAACGACATGCAAAAGGTACGAAGGTAACGGAAAGCAAGTAATGACTTTTAAAGTTTTCTAGCTGTAGTTCCGAGAAAATGTGAATTCATAGCTGTCGGCACGACCGCTCTCGCTCAGGTCGTCCATGCTTGTCCGTCGGCTCATGAAGTACTCTCGATCGGTCTCTTCGACATCAGCCTAAAATCGTGCAGTGAGCAAGAAAAAATCAAGTAATCTAGTTCTCAACTTGAAAATGCAGAAGACAATGTATAAACAAGAAAAATTGCATGATAAACACTAGTGCGCACGAACAGAACTCACATCTGCATCTATTCGTGATTCAACAATAAACTCTGCCATTGACTCGAAATCAGATGGTACTTCAGAAAGGGTCTAAAAATTTGTTTGAAAAAGTGCCGTCGATAACAGGAAGAACCCGAAATACCTTAATCCATTGATTATCAAGCACGTCTTGAGCAGAGAATCGTTCTTCTTTGTCGGTATTCACAAGCAACAGAATGAGCGCCTTTGCAGAAGCAGATATCTTATCCCATGACGGTGATGGAAATGTTACTCGGCCACGCATTATTTGAGCAAACAAATCGTCTTGTGTTCCATCAGAGCTGAAAACGTTTTTTTTTTTCTCAAAAAACATTTGTATCCCATATCCAAAACATGATCTTCGTTGCATCTAACAGTCATGATATCAGAAAAGATTGATTTCGTGACCCACTCGGCCCGCAATCAAGACAATTTCACAAATGCGAGATGAAGTGAACGTTAAGTTCATATATTGATATGTCGATTTTTTAAAAGATGTAGCCGTTATAGATTCATGCACAAAGAAGGACTACGACCAGAATATCGAAATAAAAAAAGATAATATCTCAAAATCAGGGAAACACATAAAAACCACGAAAACTTACCTCTGGAATGGTGGGAATCCACACAACATGACATAAAGTATCACACCGGTTGCCCACACATCAACTTTTTCATCATAGCTGAAATATTTGTTGACCTGCTAAGCTAGCTATGACCAAAAAACAACACGACACCGAGTACTTCAAATGAATCACAAAAAAAACGAAACGTTAAGCTAGTTGCTGATAATCATAGAAAAACAAAAGGGAGGCAACAAAGACTTACCCTGTTTCAAGTATGACTTCTGATGCCACATAAGTGGGTGTACCACAAATGGTTGACAACTTGCTACCGTCTTCAGGTAGTTCTGTCGCCAAACCAAAGTCGGCTAATTTCAACTCAAACTCTCCATGTGGGGCGGTATATAGCTGCAAAAAACATCATTACTATGAGTACAAAATCCAGAAAAATGACGAAGATTTGCTTACCAGAAGGTTTTCTGGCTTTACATCACGATGGACAATGGAATTATCATGGAGATAACTACAAAAATGACTTCAGCAAGATATGCGACGTAAAAAGCATCAACTTACGATAGAGCCTGTACAAGACATTTTGTGAGACGAGCGGATTGCCTTTCAGATAATCGCCGTACGACGCAAAGATGTTCAAAGAGATCTCCTCCCTGAAATATGATAAAATCATGTACGACAAAATTGGCTACAAGTGTAACGAGTATTCACAGCTTCTTGGAGTTTGTCACTCGACTTGTGTTCCTCATCATGAGAAACACCTGCTCTAATAATGCTTACAAGCAAAAACTGACAGCTCTACGACTTTTACCAACTGGCTTCCATTCAGTACGTCAGGCGCGTGCTAGTTACATTTCTTTACAACTCTGATCACACACTTGAGATGAGTGATGTTTCCGCAAAAATAAGGAAATTTAGGAGTGACTTGACTGGTAATTTTAGCAAGACATGCGTTTTGTAGGCTGATGAAAAGTAATGGCTGCTCTTTGGCAGATAAAAAAGTCAAAGGCAGATTGGGGAACATGACGCAGAAAGAAAGGAAAATAAGAATGCCCAAGAAGTTGTTCTAATCTTTGATTAATAGCACCAAAGAAATCAAATCGTAGCTTAGGAATGAGGATTACACTTGGTTTCTAAAGGCAGTCAACAACCCGTCAAGCTGTGCAAAACTGATGTTCAGTTAGAGGCTCATGACACAGATAAATGAATGTCCAAAATAACTGATGATCAAAAAACTGTAGTGCACAACAACGATGGGTTAATATACGAAGTAAAAGCAATTCAATGGAGTAAAATCTCACCTCAACCAACTCTAATGATAGGTAGTACGCCCCATCAATTGTCCAATCTTCAAACATCTTCACGATATAGGGATGTTCGATCTTCTTCATGATTGACAGTTCGCTCTCTATCAGCGCAATCTTTCCGACGGCTGAATCGCGAGCAATCACTTTCAATGCGCTATGCTCTTGGGAGGACCTGCAAGAAGACACATTAGACACACACATGTGGACAAATCTGATATTTTTCCAGTGACACTGATGCAACATGGCAATTTCTGCGAAAGAGACAAAATCAATCATTTACCGATCCATCACTTCATAGACGAGAGCAGTGTTTCCATCACCAAGAAGCCGAAGAATAGAAAACTTCTCATCTAAGTCGTTAGGAAGGTTACGAGCTGAAAAGAAGTCATTGAACTAAGAAAGTGGTAGAGATCTACTCGTCATTCGTTCATACCTAACTCATCCGGAACTACACTTCCACATCGGTCTTCCCTTAAGCTCTCATTTCTTGCCGGCATCACGCGTGGACGAGATGAAGCGACACCTCGCCGACCACCGCGACGGGCGCCACCGGAGTATAACCGCTTGTATTCTAAGAAAAAAAAACCAAAGTTTTCATACGGCAATTTAAAGATTGCTTGAAAATTAGACTTGCTACGTGATGACAATTTACCCGTAAATCATTTCTATATCAAGACACCAATTCTCAAAACTGAAAACTCAACAGCTCCCAGCTAATATTTAAGTCATCCTCAGTGACCATCCCTCGTCAAAGTATTATTGACATTATTAAATGAGAACCAAAGCTCAAATATGTTGAGAATACAATTGCACAAAAATTTAATACCATGCTCTCGAGTCCGTCAACATCGCCAAATACGATACGGCTAGCTGTAGTAAAAATAGGTTTTGGTTAGTTAGTTCATACTAACTTAAGTGGGGCCCTTGCGCATGGAATTCCCCCAAGTCGCGAAGCAACGTAAACGACAAAAAAGCGGTTTACAGCAATGCAGCGATGGTTGGAAAAAAGCAGAGGTAAACGAAAAAAGTGGTTGCACAGATGCAGAACGGTTTGGCGAGAAGTCTGAGCAACAAACAAAGTATGAATGCAAGCAAGGACAACAAAAACGGATACGCTCTTCGCACGACTTTAACGGACATAAGATTTAGAGTGGCTAGAGACACGTTCAAACCCCGGCTTCAACCTCCATCCGGCCGATTACTTCCTCATTCAGTTCTACAAAGAAAGTATGTTAAAGCTTTAGAAGACATTTCTTTCCTCTAGCGAAACGCACTAGAAAACGGCAACAAAGCCTGAGAGATGTTCAAGCGCCAGACATTGTTCCGAAACAATCAGTAGATGGGCAGACTCTTAGAAAGAAAACAATGTGCTTTGAAACAGACTGCTGTAAACTGGCAGAAAGGTCATTAATAGTGTTTGGCACGCCCCTGCTAAAAACACAAAATTGATGGAGTAGATGTGACAACCAGACTTAACGGATCATCACGATTACGCTCTGCACTGGCTTTGACCATTCCGGCTAGTTTAGTTAGCGAATCAGATAGGAGGAGAGTGAGGGTAAGCACAAGAGCAGAATTTAGTCGCGTTTTAAGAAGTAAAGTTGGTGAGCGCAACTTTGATAAGCGAGTGAGCCATAACTAGCAAACAATTGATTAGAAAAGAGCGGGATTATGCAGTTTAGTCTGCTGAAAAGCACACCACCAACACCTGTTTCAATATTACATTTCAAATTTTTAACTATCGTTCAAGCTAGGAAGCGGAAACATACTGTACTTTGACAAGACTTGATTTCAAAAAATACAACGGGAGCTACATAGGGCCAGATTTTCCCAGAAAAACGATGGCTTTAACAAATTTTCGATACAGTCTGTGAGCGAACAACAAACAATTTGAATTACCCAAAGTGTCTGATTGAAATGATAACTATGGTACATTTCTAAGCCTAAGAAGGAAAATGCAGGAGCAGAAGCAAAGCGCCGATGGAATTAGAGGACTAACCCAAAGAAAAATCTTTGTAATCCGATGCTTGTGCAAACACTTTAATGCTTATCGATTCTAATTTGGATCCTGTAGGCATACACAGCGGAAGACCGGAAACTTTGGAAAACTTCCAATCAGATACAAACAGAGTTTTGTTAAGCTAATCAATGTTCAAATGTTAAGTCGAAAGTCCCCGCAACTGGACGTAGAAAAAGACGACTTCGATAATTAAAACTGAATCAAAATCTAGTAGATTTCAAAATGACGTGGGATGATGACGATGAATTTATATAGATGTTACGACCAAACATAACTATCGGTACATTATTGCAAAAATCAAAGTTTTCGCAAAAGTGTATATTTATCCCTTTCCTTCGTTTCTGCGCTTACTGTGCTTAGCGTAAGATTGGGAAACCAAAATTTGGATTGACTTTGGAAGCGATCTAGCATGAACAAAGGGAATGAGGCTTTTGATGGGAGGAGAAACGAAGCCATTATGGCTAGTTAGCCATGAGAAATATGTGAATCATCCATTTCGCCTCGCTTCAAGCAACAAAAAAATTATGTGGATTCGAGGATGCCTAGCGCTTTGATGATGAGTAAGCTCAATTTGGGATTCTATTCTTATCCAAAAGATGACTAAGACCCCAAAAACAAGAAAACAAGTTTCAAAACAGGAACGTTAAAAAACAGGAAAAGTGCGAAGAGAAGGAAACAAAAAAAAGCAGAAAAGGAGACTCAATGATCATACCTTCGGATATTACCAGAAAATCATCAGCACTCGCTCGTTCATTTCCATACGCTATGAAAACATCATCTTCGCGAAAGAAATCTTGTAAAGTCAGCACCTAAAACATCTACTGCAGCTGTTTTCAAAGGCACCCAAAGTATAACTTACCGCTGTTCCTCCCAACGCAAACAGCTTTCGTATCGCACCACTGTCGAGCTTAACGACGCATGTGAGGTCTGTCATAACCTGATCGAACGATCTGGAACAAGTACTCGTTCTGGTGTGAACGCAGTAGCATTCAAACAGATGTTTAAAGGCCATAATTGAAGGTATTGTTCATTCAGATTGAGCGCGGTGAGATAATAGTGTGATAGCGGGGCCCCCAGGTCCCGTCCGTGGGTGGTCCGAAAATGATATAAGCTAAACTGGGCGTCAAGTAGCATCGTATGTAAGAAGTATATCTACCTTTAGAAAAAACAGATTATGGACATTCGTAGCTACTTGAAGACCAATTAGCACAACTTTATTTTCGGACCCCACACACTTATGATCGGGAAGGAAGTGTCCGCAGGTAACTCCTAGAGCAATTTTCTCGCTTTGGAAGTCATCTTCTGCAGCCGGATTTGTGCGATTACTAAGTTAGAGGTCTCGCTCTTGAGCAGCATCAAAATCTCACCACTCTCAATCTAGGTGGATATGCGTTTGAGCGAAACGACTGCAAATGGGCAAACATACAGAATTCAAACTCAGATAATGATTAGAACCGTCAATGACGCAAAGATGACAGAAAGATGGTCATCATCTACCCTTGAAAAGCTAAAAAGTGTTTTTTTTTTGTGCTATCTAGATCCGATAATCATGACAAAGGAAGACTTTGTGAAACTACCGATTCTCATAGATGCAAATCTAGAATTCTTTTGGGAAACCTGGATACGCACCAGCGAAGTAAAAAACAACCAACAACAGCAACAATGCAAACAAAGAAAGAAACTGGAAGAAAAGGCGACAGATTACTCAAATAACATCGATACAAAAACAAAACAAGACAATGCGTGAATGAAGATACCTGGCAGTCTTCTTGTTGAGCAAATGTCGTACAACCCTTCGTGGTTTCACACCATTACGTATAACAGTGATGATACGTGGAAATACAAAGTGAGTAGGTTCAACCTAGAAGGATAATACAAGATTAGCAGAATAAGGATAAACGTACAAGTTTTTAGTGAAAATCTTCCAAAAATGATACAATGTTAGCAAATTAAGAGCAACAATACAAAGTACAGAAGGAATAAGAAAGATTTATGTGCTCACCGTAACATGTTCTGTTCCCCAAAGGCCAAGCATTGCAGCTTCGTTCGGCCGATTTGTCCGAGAAAGGGCGAAACACCAATATGGTTCACGAGCATTGGCATAGTCAACAGATTTAAATGTTTCGGTGCTGAATAATAAAAAACTCATGGCTACAAAAGCGAAGCCGAAGAGAAGAGCAGCTCACCTGGAACACACATACGATTCGCCATCCTCAAACTGGTCAATATCAGTGATACGAGTTTGTCCATCTATGCTAAATATGTGTCGAATACCGAGTGGTAGCGCCGTTGAATCGCCCATTGTTTTTGCAAGATCCTCCATTAGAGGTTTCATGCTTCGAACACGATCGCTTCGTAATGCGTACCATAAGCCCTGAAAACCATATCCTTTCCGCACCTGTTATTCAGTTCAACCTCGTGCTTGCATTCTCGGTAGACATAAGGCTTTGTGAAATGAAAAGCGAGTTATATAGAATCAACACCACATATACACCGCTTTAAACGTAATGAAAGACAAGAAGAAATTGTGTAACATGTAAGAAAAATTCTGGTAATTTCTGTAGCTTTTTGCAAGATGCTTACGTTTATATTACTACTTTATACAAAACGTTTATACTTGAACACCCCCCGCTGTATCCTCCTTTCTCAAATCTTACTTTGATTTCAGCGTTGAGTTTTCCTCTTATGCCAAACTTTACCTCAAAACCATGAAGCGCTATTAATTTGATTTCAATTAGCCTATTTATCTATGTAATGCACTCGCATGAACTTTCATATAAATCTTTTCCAAACTAACGTTACGAAGAGACTTCTCAGTAAAAAGACGATAACCAACCACATGATGCAAAAGGGCCCTTGCTGCTTATGCAATGTAAACATATTGCAGATTGAGATAAACAGTGTTCTTTAGACACTCCGAGACTAAGTTTTTGTCGTTGAATGGGTGCTCAGGAAGATATACGTCACAAGAACATAGCTGATCCGAAAAACGCCGTCGTTATGGCACAACCTCCATGCTATGCAGTTTGCATAAGCACGTTCACTGTTCAGGGGGATATGAATCAAGCCCGTATTAATCTTGATGTTTCTCTGAAGAAGAATAAAAACTAACTAAACTAACTTCTCTGAAAAAGAAGATAAAGCTCTCGCTACAGAATCACTGGAAAAGCGCATAAACACGGCTGTGGTGGCAAATTAATGTATTAGGCAATCATAAGAAAAATATGAACTTCCGAAAATATTCTTTGAGTATCACTCTGTTCACCTGAATATAGTCGAGATACAAAACCAAGAACTAGCGGCTACTTTATAGACCACAGTTCTAGGATTTATGAACTTGGTCTGATATCTCAGGTAACGACCAAAAATACGAGTCTCTTCAGATCCATAAAATTTGAAAGACCACTACAAAAAAAAAACATTGACAATTTTATATCAAAATTACTTTCGAGCTAATGGTTCAAGTAAAGCAAAAGAGGATCAGAAAATAAACAAAAAGTATTTAGTTAAAGCAAAAAGAATAAAAGAAAATATTTAACAATAAACTGCGGATAAACCAAAACAATACTCATAACGCGGTAATTCCATATCAAACCGACCTTGTAGTACTGATCCCCATTTCGGTAGAACCGTATCCGTTTCGCCTTAGCCGATCGTGTCACACATCGAAATGGCTTGGGTGTGGTGGCGGAATCCGGTGGATTTACATCTACGCGACTCTCTGGGGGTGAGTTGTTGGAGGAGGCCCTACTGAAATGAAGTTTTGATTTCAGCACACAATGGCGACAAGTAATTTTTTAATCACTTTGGGAAGTAATCAAAGTCTTTTCACACTATCGCATAGAAATGTTACAAATCCTTACACCTACCTCTCCACAACGATTGACGATGTCATTGAGGCAGTTTGCAAGCGATCAGTGTCCGAGCGTACATCAAACGATGAGGCTCGAGGTGTTGACAAATCGTCGTCTATTAGATCCCGAGTTTGACGCTGCGCTGAACAAAGGGAATTTGACATCTTTTTATAAGCATATAGAGTGGTATAAATAGTCCAAAGATAACATAAAGATGTTGAGATACATTAATACAGATGCCTAGCAAAGAAACCACATCAACTCGATATAGAGCGCAAGCTACAAGCAGCAAGAGCCCAAATCAAAAAATTTCCAATGACATTCATGATTAAAAATCGTATTTCACTTTTCTCAATCCTTAGTACTTCTTCCCAATGACTTATCGGCGCAATTTTCTAGTTTTACGGGCTATCTACATCCCTTGACAAAAACGATAAATACCGCATTGGCGTACCTGTGTATCATTTTGAATTCGGTAAAATCACGCTGCTGCTGATCAAGCCGAAACAGGTAAAACGCTCACATTGTTCGCAAAACTCAAAAAATCTTGCGAGTTACCATCACCACATAATGATAGATTACAGGCTTGGACGATACAGAAACATGCGAAGCCGAGAAACAAATGTCAGTTAATTAAAAAACAAGTTCTGCTAAGAAAAGTGTACAAAAAACCTGAATTCCGTAGCCAGATAGAAAAGCAAAAACCGTCCGAAAAGCAGTTCATTGATACTTCAAAGACAATTTTGTACCTCTCATGTAAAAAAAAATTTGGTCAAGATGGCTGGGAATGCCAGGTATGAGTTGGAAAACGGTGATGCCAAAGAATTCAGATCAAGTTCTCCTAGTGGATACCGCAAAAGTGCTCTCAACAAAGCCACTGAATCGCAGGAAAGTGTAGTCGTAAAAGTTGGCGAAATCGCTTTCTGACACGAGATAATTGTGTAGTGTATTGCTGCGAGATGACACATTTGTCGATGTCGACAAGAAAAACCACATTCGCAATGTCGTCAAAACTATTCAAGGCCACTTGCTGACACTCGACGCCATTAGACACTCGCTACATCGCACATTTAGCGAATTGTCCTCAATGTGACCCTCCTACGGTTTGCATTTTAGATGCAAAGTGGGGATAGAGAAGGGATATTGGATGATGAGCTCGAAGGACCCTAGGGAGATAGTACGGCAAGAATCACCTTTGATGAGGAGTGGCTAAGTTCAAAATGAGTCGCTCTTTAGATTCCTTTGAAAAGGCAAAACCATCGGGAAAACCACAGATTTGCAAAAAAAAATTCCTGCTGCACATTTAATTCCTGTTTTCCATCAATCAATCAGTTCCAAGACACGCTTTAAACATCGAGGCATCAATGAGTGATTTCCCGTCGCCTTGTGCAAACCAATGCGAAGTGAATAGACAGCCGCAACGAACGACGTCAATCAGCGGTTCCGTAGTGTAGCGGTTAACACCCTGGACTTTGAATCCAGTAACGCGAGTTCGAATCTCGCCGGAACCTAACGTTTTGCAAGCATATTTGTTGAAGGAAAAACAAAAAACTCAGCAATCTAAAGACGTTTTGAAGCAGATAAGTAGCAAATGGACATTTTTTGGTTCGATTCAGTGATCGTTTGACGGGGAAAGCGCTAACAGAAGAAAAGTTACAAAGAATACACGACTATATATTCCCGCATGAACTTGAAAAGAGATTTTATATCGCTGCATGCGTAAAGCTTGAAAGATTTAAAAAGCGATTCTATTGTTATTAGCGATTCTATTATTCTATGTTTTGTCCTGAAACTGGCTCAAATTTGAATCTCGTTGAGACCTAACTTCTTCACAAACATCTCAAAGTAACGGCTAAGCGATTTAGAGGTAATTTATAGCAGACAGCAGATGAGCTTATTTTTGAAACAAGATTATGTAAAATTCTCTCAGAAAAAGTTCAAAAAGAAGAAAAGATGCAAGAGCACGAATATATTCTCGCATAGATCTGCAGAATGCAGACATTACTTCGTACGTGAACTTTCCGAAGACGAAGCTATGTTAATTGAAATATTGTTCGAAGAAAAATCAACTTCAAAAAAGAGGGCTGTATAAGACACTCATCGGAGGGCCTCAAGTACGCCTATCGATTGTACAACCTCTCTATTTGTGTCCTCAACGCGATTATTCCCATACAAAAGGACATGCAGGGAATTCGTACAGACAGCCGACCAAAAAAAACTGCGCATCAAGTATCATACGTATCCAACATTTCGCACTGATATTGAATCCCACGGACAAAAAGGTCTAATTAAATTGGTTATCGAAAGAAAATTCCCAGAGGAACCAGCTCTACGCACTATTGAAAGCAATAAACATGAGCGATATGAACGCGAGCTTCTTCAGCAGCATATACTATTTTCTTTTCATGCTCTCCTCCACAATGCTAACACGCCCATCACCATAGATTATGTCGAAGGAAAACAGGAATGCAGTCACAAAGACTATACTGATGATATATGACAAGGAAGATAATGCATGTGCGCAGTTGGTTCCATGCATGTAGAGAAAATGGTACTATGAAATGAAAGAGATGATAATGGTTGTCTAGATCCAAGATGTGCAGCAAAATGGAGCGAAGAGTATATGCAGAAAATAAACACATAAACTTTCGCTTTGGATATCGTATTCTACGTCTATAAGAGGATTCAACACAAGAGTTTCTTTTGTGAAAAAGCTTAATGTGAATGTAAATTTATGTCTTCTCCAGCAATGAACTGTAAACACACTTCTACCGTCCCTGTGGAGAAAATGAGATTATGAGAGAATCAACTTTGGGATCCTAACAAGCTTCTTTTAGGGAACGCAAGCAGTTAGCTTCATGGTCAATATGCAAAAGTGTGGTCTCCTTCATTCACTGATATACTCAGTGTGCATAAAAACAAGAAAAAGACCTCCAACAAACATGTTATCAGCTAATCCAAAACTCGAATAATGTGAATGCGAAGAAAGGAGAACAAAAATTCTAAACCGACTAAAAGACAGAGATATCCGTTGTCCAAAAACTTTGGAGTGGTAGAAAAGTACATTGATCAGAAACAAACAGGCTAAACTGCTTTATGCGCAATCGCGCAAGTATGTCTTCAGTGAAGTGCTTTACTATAATCTGTGCGACAACCGAACTCCGTTCATTGCCCTAGAACTGGCAAAAGCCCCAGTACCTCCCATTAATCGAAGAAAAATGGCTCCATCAATCAAGGCAAATGGCGTCGGTCCGTAACAATATTAAAATTTAGCTCATTCAGAGTTTCTGAGTAAATTTGGGCACTTTGTGGATCCAATACGGATTGAAAAGGACGAAGCATTATGAAGAAGAGAAAAGAGTTAGGGAAGGGAGTGGAGGCAATGGTATGCATAATGAGAGGGCTGAGGGTAAGATAAGCCAATAGAAATTGAAGGACTTGCTCGTATATTCGTCTCCTATTCCTAAAGATCAGTGAAGACAATGGCTCCAACAAAGCTGCTAAGTGAATAAAACCAAGGTCCTGACTGCGACTGAAAGATTAATCTGAAAACATTCTTTGACATGAATGGTACTTAAGATTAGCATATCTGTCCGAGTGAAATGAGAAACTAACTGCAACGGACAAAATCAACCAAACAAACGATGTAACTAGTAGCACAGTAGGCGAAGCAGAAGCCGTTGGCAGTTTCCTCTAAAACCCACAAAAACTGCCGAAAAAACTATGGCATTTGAATGGCAAGGACAAGGATACTGGGCATCGATTCAGTAAAAGAACGAGCACCACAGCGGTGCAATTCGGATGGGGGAGAGCTGATGCAGTATTCATTATGAAACGTTCATGACTAATTCAGAGCCAGTGGAAAAGAGAAAAAACATCGAACAACGCACGTGTTGATGGCATTTTATTCGTTATTCACTTTAATGAGAAGAGGCACATCGCTGTGTGCTGGGGGAGCAACTGGATCGGAAACATTTGCGGAAATTGGTAGAAAGAGATATCGCTAAAAAAGACCTATCCACAATACGTGATTTATTTTACGACTACGATTGCAATAAATTCAGGAAATGCGAAAAAGGTGGGCAATGAGTGGATGGGTTACGCGGTATTGAAAAAGAAGAGATAGTCAAAGCAAAAAAACTTAGTTTAAGTCAAAAAATGCGAAGCATCTTCCCTTTTTGTAAAGCAGAGTGAATATAGCGCTAACACTTCGCCAGCGATATCACCGCCATCAGGTCGGGTCAGCGAACGCTGCTGACCGCTATCACCAAGAAGTTGCAAACTTGCTAAAACTCGACCTTGCGAAACTATTTGTTGCTGCCTGTAGCTCATGATTTTCCTCAAAAAAAAAAACTATTTTTCCCCTAAAGAAATCCTCTTAAAAAGCTCAACAAAGAATATAAGATAAAAATTCCACACCGACCAGATAAACTGCACAGAAATAAACCTCCAGAGATGATGGAGCCAAACCAGATGTGCAACTTCAATATCGAATTCCGTCGAGACTAACGAAAGATGAGATGAGTGCGTTCACATCAGAGACGGAACGAGCTAACGGAATGCACTAATGACTTCGGAAAGGATGGTACAGCTGCGGCAAACGTTTCAATTAGAAAAAAAAGTCGAATAGGTTTGGAACGGACGTTCAACCAGATAGTGCCGTAACAAGCGCATACGTAATCAAGGCCAATTACGGAAGGAATTGCTCTTCAAATACATTTTACTGGAGGGAGGAACAGAATAGACCATCTTCAGCCCCAGCAAAAACAGAAACGCAGATGCTAAAGTTGTAAAGGTTTTAGCTCACTGCGCTAAAAAATCACGGTGCAACATTTGAAGTCAGCCACATCCAACTGTAGAGAACAGCTCAAAAGTAGACTTGCTTATCATTAAGCTGCTGACGACTGATTAAAATTGGATCTCGAGCAATATTTTGACGTTTTGGACCACAAGCTCGCTGCACTATCAAATGAGACGAGCCTGCACACCAAAATTTGCATGATGAAGCTAGGACTAATTAGGCTCGTTCGACCTCTCAGACAAAAGGGCCTACATCAGAATGGAACAGCACAAACCGATATGATGAAGAGAGACCACCATCGCCGTGAGAAGAATTACAAATCAATGAATCTATCAATCCAATATTGCATTAATGACATCAGGAACAGAGTTGCAAAAAACGAGAACGTTGTTCAAACATGCAGCCAGTATGTTTGTATGCAAAAGGGGGAGCAATAAAAAAAAGAAACGCAAAAAAAAACTAGTCAAGTTTTGTTTGCAGAGTCAAGATTACAGTAAACACCTTGGACAAACCTGGCAAAAACAGACTGAAAACTGCAAAAACTGATAATTTTATAATACTGTTCAATTTTATGGAAGTGCAGAGTTAGCATCAAATGTGCAAATTGTATGATTCAGGTATGCAAGAAACTCTTGTGTCATTTACGTACGGCAAGTAAATTAGGCTTGATTGATTCAATGTGGTACTATCTTAGCCATAAAGTGAGAATAATTGAGAATTCCAAGAATTTGTTACCAACCATCATACACTTTTTGCCAAGATCAATACCTCACAAACTATCTTTTTGGCAAGAGCATTCTATTTACTCCTAGTGCACTTCTTACATCATGTAGTGCCTTGTAGGTGATATCAAATCGCATATTTCAAGCGAAAATGTTTGCTACAAATACCGAAGAAAAGGTAAACAAATGGCTTGTGAATCATAGCTCAGAAAAAACCGATGCATGATGATTACCACTAAAAGAGAAAATTCAAGAAAATCTGGTAAATGATAAGAACAAAGTCAATTAGAAAAGTAATGAAACAACTCACTTCTTCGTGTCGAAGCAGCCGATGGTCGCTTTAACGGACGTCGCTTCGGTGTAGGCCTGGGTAAGGTATTCCTCGGCGAAACGCTCCGTACGCATGTACTCGGCATCTCGACGCGCAAATCTGGGAATACCCAGCCTTGAAAAATGATATTATCAGAAAGAGTGCATTCGGATCGACAGAGATGCGTCAAGAAACAATTTCCACGACATACGATAGAAAATGTAGAAGACCAAGCCGTTTCGAACGAACTTTTGAACCGATGTCGCAAGAAGAGTTCCAATAATGGAAGGAAAACCTATGACATTATAGTGTTCGAAGGAATGAACAGTTACCCCAGTAATTACGCGATGCTAATGCATGAAAGTCACAAAAAAGGAAACAAAGGAATGACTACAAACCGCTGCTATGCAACTTGTAACCAACTCTATTACATTCAAAAGGGACTGCCGCTAAAGATGCACTGAGATCACGCCAGCAGTTTAACAGCTATGTAAAACCATAGAAACGCGACTGAGATACGCCGCGACCACGACAAGATAAATTTTTTTGGATGCACCACAGTGAAGTCATGGCTAAACAAAATAAAAACAGAGCTGCAAGCATGATAAAAATTACAAGGGAAGTATTTCGAGATCCAGAACGACGTTGCCTTTCCACATGAGAGTTATGATATAGTCGTCTTGAAGCACTGATCTCAAAATCACCTTCGCAATCTGCAAAGCTTTTGACGAAGCCATGAGCTTTTCTTACAATCTTGTACTGTTGCAAAAGGTCAGAATTAATTGCATAAATCATCTTCCTTTTCTGTCTATCAACTTCGTAGCAGAAGCAGGCAACTTGACCAGGATTGACAATTTTGACTATATAGCACTACATTTCCAGAAGTGATGTTCTTGATTTCTGCCAAAAGACTGCCTTGCAGATAGTGGAACTTGAAATCAGCGTTCCAAGACGAGTATTTCCAGCCCTTCTCATGTGGAAAGGCCTTGGTGTTCGACTATTTTACTGCTTATTGTTAGACAGTATGCATTACTGCCGTATGCATGATGCTTTCCATGATACTTAGTGTGAAAGTCTCATTTACATAAGAAACGGAACTTTAATTTCAATCACATCATGGAGAATCGTAAATGCATTAATTGATACGATAAAAAGTCGAAACAAATCAAAAAATTATGTAAAATAATAAGTTATTGATCGAAAGTGAAACGCCCCAACCGGAAAGATTTCGACCTGTCCTGGCAGTGCATGCTACAACGATTAAAGTGAGGTGAACGATGACTCAGAAAGGGTGATCGTTTGCCAAACAGTTTTTGAGATGCGTTTTGTTTCTTAATGTGATAAAGACTCGCTAAGATGATGTATACGATAGCAAAGTCCATACTGGGACAAGTGTTTGCGATCAAAACAGGCTTAGATGAGGAAAAATTCGGGGGGAAACCGAAGAAATATGTTCGCAGTCTATAAATTGACTCACAGTAAACAGATCAATGTAGAGGACATACTGCTGTACAATCCAGTTCACATACCATAAACGATGATGTATTCAGCTTGCTTAAGAATGCAAGATAGCATTGAAAAGATTTCGAAACACTTCGTAGAAAAACAGATTAGACATAATAGCAAAAAACGTGCATCTAGACATGAAATGCTAACGACTGATGTGAAAAAAAGGAGCTGTTGGGAGATTGTTTATCTAGGAAGCTGGGCGAGAAAGAGATGAATCAATGAATAAATAGAGAGAGGGGGAAGCAGCCGTAACAGCAACAAACGACTGAAAACACAAAAAGTGGAAAATGCAAGGCATTAACGCGATGGAAGCTTGTTCGACATAGAGAATAAGAGAATTCGCGACAGTAAAAAACACAGAAAAGAAGACAGAAAGGTAAAAAACTTGAGAAAATGAACGTATCAAACATGGTGGAAGTGCCACAAAGCTAAAATAGCACTCCAACTAGGAAAATTCCTTCGATGGTAAAAAATGATGTAAAAAATTCGAAAAGTCACCTAATAACTATCGATTACTATTAGTACGAAAGTAAAACCACAGCTGGACACTGGCCAAATCAATGTCGCGCCGGCGACGATGCCGGCATTAGCGTACGCGCGCGGCGACTTATCTCGTCGTCGTCGTGTTCCCCAGCTGAAATTGTTCCGTCTGACAGAATTCGGGAAAATTATAGCCATCATAAGTATTGAGTCGATAAGGTAATAGGTGGCTAGAGGTCAATAAAACATTACTACAACTGGCACCAACAAAAAGGCAGTTGTTTTTGCGCACTGAATGTTCCCGCCCAAAGCAGTGAAGAGGGAGTGCTGGTTTTTCGATCTCTGATTACTCTGCCATCAGCACATTTTTTAGCCATCACTCACCACAAGGAAACACAAAAATTATAAAAACAAATCTTATCGTTAGAAGCGTCCCAAGTGCACCAATTACATTCAAGACGACCAATTCACGATTTTCTTTTTTGCTCAAAAGTAGTCGTGTACATTCGATAATCGTCTTTCTTTTGTTGACTACGGGCAACGTCTAAGCAAGTACAAGTCAAAATGTTCTGAGAATTCCAGATTAGCATGTCAACGACTGCACAGATTACACCGGGAACGTCTGACAGTGGCATGGAAGTATGCACGGTTTCACTACAATACCATAGCTAATCATACAGCATCAGCATTTGGGCAAAGAAAAACGCCATTTTTCAAATCCAACTTGCTTGCATTAGCGCGTAAGATCTGCCGTTAAAGGATAAACTGCAGTGGTCTACGCACAAATGTTGTCAGTCAAACAAGAGTACCATAGCAGCAGACAATTTCAAAGGCTTTGGGCTGTGTATACTCACCAATCATACAAACATCAGTGCAGCCACATCAAACCCATGAAACCCACAAAACTGCATAAGTTGATTCTTTTATGACTCAATATGCGTACTGCACACCATGTTCGCTACCTCAGTACTTATAAACAACTTTTTGATCTCCAGGGATCACTCTCCTTTCTTATCTTTTGCTTTCATCGGATATGTACCTAGCATTACACATTCTCACCAGTTTCTTCTTTTGAATAAGGTTTTACTGAAAAGTTACTGGCATGGTGTCGTCAACAGAAGCGCGTAGCGTGCAAGCTCACATATCAAGTTACAGATGGCTCGCGTACATGTTTAGTAGAGAAAGTAGGTGAAGTTTTGCTTCGGATCACATTCCATTTCTTTTTCTTTCTTTTTTCAAACCTTTTCTCTATGAGTAGCGTGCCAAATAACAGTTTCGCTGTGCTCATATTAACGGGAAACAAGGTAAATATGATTTTTTTCTTTTCGCATCCACCGCGTATTCTCTTGCTTTGCCTGCCCAACCTCGACTGTAAAGTTACAAAAAAAAAATCTTCAGATCTAAACTCTAGATATATCTTCTCCATTATGCATTTCCATCCAAGTGCATGGCGAAAGTGCTTGGTTATGCATGAGCCTGGAGTAAAACACAGCTTTTAGATTAATTTATATTGCATGTATGAATTATTAACTTAATCCTCGCAGAGTGCTCTTTTAGCAGGCTAAAATACCAATATAACATAGAGAAGTTCGAGAAAATGCTGAGCTTGCACAAAAGCTGCTCAGCAGGGTCAAGTTTCAAGAAAAGAATTCACTTGCAGAAAAAAAGAGCAAACAGATCGAGTTGCGATATCTAAAAAGGTGAGCTTAGTGGAACGATTGGAAATCAGCTGGGCAATCGCTTGTGTATAGAAAAGATCAATTAATTGAGTTTGAACGTCTAGAAAACAAAATTTCTAGAAAAAACCAACTTGCTGACAGTTTTGGCAGATATTCACACACCAGCAATCTAACTCTTCTCTTTTTTCGATGTGAAAATTCCAAAGCTACCGGTTGAGAAAAAACATTGATGGGTAATCATTGGAGAAGTTGAGAGCTGGGTTGGAAGAAAAGCGCACTGAGCGACTGGTTGTAGGAAGAAATGACAGCTGGCTGCCTATCGAGAATAAAAAAGCAAAGGGTGATAAAAATAGAGCAGTGAACACTTAAATGCGTAAGATGGATAACGTGACCGATAAAAACAAAAGAGATTCGTTTACACCGAAAAAAGGGAAGAAAAAGGTTTTGTTAACTTGTAACAGTCGCTAAATGTCTGAGATTTACCCTCTCAGACGCAAAAGATGACTCAAGAATTTTTTGAATGTATCGTGATCAGCCAGAATTGTTTTCTGGAATTGAATTTGTCATCGCAAGGAAAAAGACCCAGACAAAGGGAGAGTTGACATTAAAATGAATGTGAGTGAATAAACCTAGAAAGAAAAAATTGGCAATAAAACATGTGCTTCGAAATATTCTGTGCAGCCATTCCCCCGCCCCACCACCTTTTCCCTACTCTCCCATTTTCATACTCAGAATGACTGGGAAGTGGTTACAATCAGCCAACTATTATCCCCTTGTTTGCTTGAACGTCGTTAGAGCTAACAAATAAAAATCTAAGAATACGCGTTAGAACACCAAGTGGCAAAATCGAAGTCACTTGGACGACGGATTTGACACTATTTATAGGGATATCGGCAGTAGACTTTGTCAGAAGAAATTCTGCAGAAACCGATTTAGTGGACGAGAATTCTGGAAAAAAACATTTGCTTGCCTTCATGTGCTGTTTTTTGCCGAGATCTCCTATTTAGAGAGAGTGCCAAGAATAATCTGCCTTTTACATCCATTATGTCCTTTCAGCCAAAATGCCACGTTTAGCGTTAAGTCTCAAGGGCAACGGAAGTGCCTGCGATAGCGGTAGTAAACAGCGCAATTTATTTTGTAAAAAGATTATTTTGACAAGTTGCATTCTTTCGAAATTTTTGAGTTTCATTGATTTTGCTGCAAATAGGTGCGACGTGAATGTAGAGTCATTTGCAACTTCGTATTTTTCTAAAGAGAAAAAATCGAGCCACAAGAGCATTTAGCCAAATGATAAATGGGTTTGTGTACCGCATGGCTCAAAAAAAAAGAAAAAATTAAAAATCGTAAATTCAACAACAAATAGGAAGAAACCGAACAAAGAAGGATAGCGAAAGCGAACAGACAGTGAGACAACAATATCAGCTGATAGATAAGAACAAACTCCACTTGTCAACGCTAAAAGTTTTATT